CTCTCTCTCTCTCTCGCCTTACCCTAAGCGGAAGATGTCATTTCATGATTTTCACCTTACAAAAAAAAATCTTTATTCAATTTCAAACTGTGAGCTCAACTGGGGAAGTACGGCACAGAGGCTAATACCGTGAAGATATAACTGCATTTGGCAAATGAGAGATGTGGAAGCGCATTGATTTATTTTTCATAGCGCCTCTAATACTGAAGGAAAGTTTATTGTATTTTGGTCATCTGTAAATAAGTAAGCATCGCCCGCAACCCTGGTAGAAAAAACCTAATGAGCAAGAAACTTGATAAGGGCTAATATAATTCATTGAAAACAAAGTTCATTAACGGAAAAAACCGTGAGGGAAGCGCGACTTTGAAATCACCAATCCGCTTTGAGTGGCTACACAGAGTATTACTCTTTTTGACAAACGGATGATAGGTTTAATTATAAAGATGGCTGGAATTCAAAAACTAAGAGATTTTCGAGCAACTTTCTGCCTCACAGCAAAATTCTGGAATGATCTTTTACCGGATGTATTCCCGAACCTACAGAACTTCTAGAAATGCACGTACTCCTTCTTCAAGCGTCGGCAACGTGCCGGTGACTTCTCTGACATTGAGAATGTCCTTGGGCGACACTAAGCACTTACCATAAGGGGATCCGTCTGCTCGTTTAACTCTTCAGCATTATCATCAGCCTATAAGTGCCTACTGCTGAGCAAAGGCCTCTTCTCACACGGAGAAGGTTTGAGCATTAATCGCCGCACTTGCTCAAGGCGGATTTGCGATTTCAAAGCAAATTCCGTTTGACTCCTATTACATAAAAGCATTAATCGTCGCACTTGGTCAAGGCGGATTGGCAAATTTCCTTTGACTCCTATTACATAAAAAGGCCTTTGCACCGATGGGCATTTATACATTTCATTGTTCAGCACAGTGCATTCCGTTCAACATGACATTTACTGCAGGCAACAACCCTGGCTCCTTACCATGCATCTTTACATGACTCTTCAAGCCCGAAGCCTTCCTGAACGACTGCCCACACTGCGTACAAATATAAGGTTTCTCACCAGTGTGGCAACGTATATGAGAAATCAAATCAGTGCGTTGGACAAATGCTTTTTCGCAATACGAACATTGGAAGGGCCGCTCGCCTGTGTGAGTTCTTCTGTGATTTTTAAGAGTTCCTGAAGCAGCGAATCTCATAGGACAGAGGTCGCATTGGTAAGGTTTCTCTCCAGTGTGGGTCCGTCTGTGTTTGACTAACGCGCTTGAAGTTGTGAAGCCGTTTCCACAATCATCGCAAACGAATGGATGTGCACCGCTGTGTTTCCTGTTGTGAGCGTCCAATTCGCCTTTGGATACAAATCTGTAAATAAATTGTTCTATTAAGAGTTTAGTTTTGTGGAACTACTATTATTTTTTCAACTGGGAAAATTATTAATTGATTCTCCCACCATGGATGCGGATTTGATTTGTTAACAAAAACATGTTCATTGCAATATAATAAATCGGCAGTCGCCACTTAACGAAGAAGGAAAACAATCCAGTAACTTCCAACTAGTCAAATTCAATATTTTTATTGAAAAGACAAAAGCATATGACGTCGAATATCATACTTATTTTGAAAAAAAAAACTAAAATTAAAGTACGTATCAAGTCAAACCTATTAATTAAAGTATGATTCTATTTTAATAATTCTTTACACTGAATAGTCAAAATAATTATTTATCGACCTCACAACCTTCCGAGTTAAAGATATACATCGAAGCCCGTGGGAATCCACTACTGCATACCCATATGCCTGCTTGACAGACGAAGAGTTTGCTATAATCTCCAAACGGTTTTTTTATTGGATAGTCCGGCAAACAAGCAATCAGATTCCCTGATGGTAAGCAATCAGCGCCGCCCATGGACACCCGTAATAACAGAGAAGTTACGAGTGCGTTTTCGACCATTATGGGGATTAGGGATTAGGAAATTTAGGGATTTGGTAGGTGAAGGATTAGGCCTCCAGTAACCTTACTTAAACGGCAAACACAACGCTGTGGTTGTTTCACACCGGTTTTCTGTGAGGCCGTGGTATTACTCTGGCCGAGCCGACCCATTGGTGCCGAAGCATGGCTCTCCCACGTTTTACGTTGCATTTTGACGTGTCGAAATCGCAGTTAAAAAGGCTAAAAGAGTTGTCAAATTTCTCTTTAATATGTAGAGTTCTAGTTCCTATGGATCCAGCGGGCTGAACAATTGTGATTAACGCTCAAAACCTATTCTGTGTGTGAAGAGGCATTTGCTTAGCACATACAGGCTTATGATGTGATGATTTAATAAACAAATGAAATTAAAACTTACCTCTTTTCACAATTTTCACATTTAAATGGCTTTAAGCCTTGATGTCTCCTCATGTGCTGCGCTAAGTTAGTTTTCTGACTGAACCCTCGTCCACATTGAGAACATAAAAACGGTTTCTCCCCCGTATGTGTCCGCATATGCTCCTTAAGAGTACATGACATTAAAAATCCCTTATTGCATACTGTACAACGATGTTTCTTCTCATTCTTATGACTGTCTTTATGCAACTCCAAACTTTCTTCGTTTGGAAAATTCTGAGCGCACACTTCGCAACTAATACCATTCTTCCTTGAATGCATCGTCAAAATATGATTTTCTAAATACGCTTTGTACTTGAATTCTCGTTTGCATACTTTACAAATATGTTTTATACTGTCCATCTTTTCGTGGCGTTGCATGTGAGCGGATAAAGAAGACTTATTCTTACATTTCCGTAAACAAAATGAGCATTGGTAAGATTCAGATTTTGTATTTCCTGTGTTTTCGTGCTTCCGTATATGACTTATTAATGCGGCCTTTGTGCTGAATTGGACTAAGCATATTTCACAAACATATTCCTTTGGCTTGTTATCCAATTCGTTACTATGCATTTTTTGTTGATGTTGTTTCAAATTATTCAAATTGTTGAACTTATAATTACAAGAACTGCAGTTGAATTCAATATTTTTCTTTACTAATTTACTTTTCTTTGCTAATACTTTCTTACTTTTACATTTACCCTTTATATGGCTTTCATACTTGGATTTGTCGTTGAAAATTGTACCGCAATGGCATTTGAACATTGAATATTCTGGTAGTGTTTCTTTGAACTCTTTTGGTGATGTGGTGTGTATTGTTTCGTCATCATAATGATCAGAAAATGCTATATCGTCTTCAAAATTGAGATTTAACTCTTCTTTGACCAACTGTTCAGAGTTGACTGACACTTCAGTATTGTTTTGATCACAGAAATTACCATCAGTGGCAGTGAAAATAGAAGCATCATGTATTATAACATTTTTCTTGTCAAAATTATCTTGTACGTCGTATTCTGCTGTGTTTGCAACGTCAAGAGGAATATACGAACTTAATTTATCAGATAAATCCCCATTTTCATCCTTTATTGAGTACTTCTTGTCATTTATAGATGGATCGTCGACGATCAAGGAATTTTGGTATATTTCGTTTAAAATTGTATCAGAGTTAAGACAGCGGCGTTTAAATGCATCAGCCTTGCACATGATCGTCTCACATTCACTACAAACCTGTTTCGGCAGAGGGTCTTCGTATTTAATATTAATATTTGCAGTAAATCCTAAAATCTCGAGCAAGTTCCGTTTTTCTCCATCTATTTTTGTAAACAGAGATTTCATGTCGGCACATTGTATTAAACAGACACGGCATATTCTATCAAATGTATCTATTCTAATTTCCATATTAATTTTATAACAAAATACAATTTATTTTGCCCAGATTTGCTAAACAAATTAAGAACAACAAATAACTCGAGAAATGACGCGATCTTGAATGTCAATATGTCAGATAGACTAGAGGAACGCCTTATTTACTAATCGACTAAATTTTATAGCGTTAGTTTCATGGAAAAAATGATTGGACTTTAAGGGTCATGTTCATATTATGATGATTGGCCAAAGAAAAGAGATTAATGAAAAACTACTATGAATATAAATATGTGTTCATCTCTATTCTCAATGTATGTCTCTGTCTTAGTATCTTCACTATTGCATCCTGTTTTTATGAGCCTATGGGCAAACTACGATTTTGTCAACATTGGATTGAATTTGGGGTTGCACCCATGGATCAATTAAGTCTACTACTACTACTACGGTCTAAGGTGATTATTTTGTCAAACTAAGTAAAGCTCTACTAATTTCAAGTAACAACGGAACTCTTACTCATGAGCATTCCCAGTGACGTCGAAGCATCCGCTCAGTGAACTGAAATTAGTTGAGCTTTTCAGCTTTTACCACGGCCTCTCAGAAAACCGGCATGACACAACCACAGCATTGTGTTTCGCTGTGTGAGTGAGGTTAACGGAAGCCCAATACTACCCCATCTCTTCCCAATCCTTAAATATCCGAAACCCTTATCCCTAAAAGGCCGGTAACGCACTTTTATGATGTTGGCAGCGCTGATTGCTTACCATCGGGTAATCCGTCTGCTCGTCTGCCGACCTGTACCATAAATAAACTGTTTCGAAAAAAATATTTTTGTATTGTAGATATAGTATACTAGTTTCCACGCGCGGCTTCACCCGTGTGGTATGTTACTAAATATCAGCCTATGCGGTAACTCAGGGTATCACCTACATACCAAACATGGAGAATTCTACATACCTATCAAATTTAAACGAAATCGCTCCAGCTGTTTTTGCGTGAAAGACACACATACAAATTCACATACACATCACGACCCAACAATTTGAGGATCACACAAGCAGTAGTTCCGTGCGGAAATCGAAACCACGACACGTTGTGAGGCAGCTAGTTTCCCAACCACCGTGCCAACCGTGTAGTGAAAATTCCACATTTATGATATAAGTAGGAAAGTAGGATTTGTCGAAGTCTGTAGTCATTATGGTCTAAAAAATATCACACTACTACCAATAGAAAAACAGCAAAGGATTTCAAGGTACAAGAGAATGAAATAAAACTCGAGTTTCAATAAATAAATAATAATTTATTTTTTAATCTGTAGATCAGCTAATTGCTTCTTAAGGTCCAACAGTTTGTTAACCTCGGGCTGCCAGACTGTCTTGTCCTTTGTAGAAGCTTTTAATTTTCTCACTTTGTCCGCCTGTGAACAACGAAAAAATATAAAGATAGCATAAAGACATTCAACACACATTTTTTATTCAACACATTTTGCAACAATATTCATTCATTTGTCAAAATAACATCCAGTGCCAACTTCAGTTATAATATCATAGCATTATACACATATTTTCACCCATAAACAGTTAAACAATAGCATTAACCATACTACAGTCTAAGAACCAGGTAGTAATTATTTGGAAAATATGATTATAACTCACAACTCGGCTACAATATTTCATTTCCTTTACAATAACAATTTTTCTAATTATGAATGTATACAAGAAACAAAGTTCTGTTTACAATCGATTATTTATTATTATGATATGTTTATGAACTCACAAATGAAATCAAAGAGGTTTTAGTAGACCGTGGCCTGTTGCTCATCCATAATCATAATCAATAATTCAACGTCCCATCTAAAGAAAGAAGTTCATTATGGCCAGTAATGTGTTAGGATATCACATATTGTTGTCACATTATATATTTACTGTCAGATTAAGTTCATTTAACTACTCAACATTCTAATGAGACTCAAGAGTGTAGAGGTTTTTTGTAGCAAATTGTTTATTTGTGGTACAAAGACCACATATCACAGCCTTTTCCACTGGTATGGTAGAACTAATCTATTTATGGAGGCATCAATGTAATTTTAAATTATTAGGTAATACTTAAATTATTAGTCCTACACTATGTCAGTCTTGTTCATTGTTACTAGAAGTTTCTTCACTACTCTCCTCTTCACTTGATTCCTCGCTAGAGTCATCAGAGTTTCCACTCTTTGCTGCTTTTTTGGCCATCATTTCTTTGAACTGCCTCACAGTGATCTTCCTAGGCATTATTTCACGTAGAAAGTCTAATGTATCGTCTTCCTGCACAACCTCGGCTATGTGCTTATATTCCAAAAAAGTGTTTTTACTGTTTTTGAAAGCCCGTTTCGCCAAATCTGTTACAAATAGCTCAGTAACTTTGGTAACTAAATACAACGGTTCAGCCCCAACAGCTTCGACGTCCGGTGAACTTTTCATTATAGTTTTGACTCTGGATAGCGGTAAATGCAAGTCTTTTTCAGATTTAGGAGTCGTCATTATTCTGCTTTAATTAATACTACGATTATTAGGAAACTACAAACGAAAGGACGAACGAAAGCCGGACATATCATAGGAGATCTATACTTCGGTACGAATGGGTCGGCTCGACCGGAGTGATACCACGGCCTCACAGTAAACCGGCGTGAAACAACCAAAGCGTCATATTTCGCCGTTATGAGTGAGGTTACCGGAGACCCAATCCTTCCCCATCCCTTCCCAATCCTTAAATATTAAAAACCCTTATCCTTAAAAGGCCGGCAATGCACATGTAACTCCTTGGGTACTACGAGTGTCTATGGGCGGCGCTGACTGCTTACCATCAGGTAATCCGTCTGCTCGTCTGCCGACGATAAAAAAAACATAGCATATTATGGGAGGGCACGAATGGGTCAGCCATAACGTTGAAATATACCATAACGTCGGCCAAGAAAACCCTAGCGTTGTGTTTCGCCTCCAGAGTAGTGTACCGGAGGCCCAATCCTCCCCCCATCTCCAAATCTCAAATCCCCAATAACCCACAAGAGGCCGACAACGGCTCTCGCACTTACTCCTCTGGTATCAAGAGGGTTCATGGGCGGCGCTGATTGCTTACCATCAGATAATCTGTCAAAAAAATATAACTCACTTGTTCCGCCACAGCTTTCTCCATAGCACTGACGTCTCCAGCTCCTTTAGCGACTGTAGATTGTAATGCAGCTTGGAGCTTCGCGTCTTCGAGCCGTTTCTTCAACTCCAGCAGCTTGGTTACCTCAGGCTGCCATACCGTCTTGTCTTTAGTTGACGCTTTTAATTGACGCACTTTATCACCCTGAAAAAAATCAAAGTCAAAAACATTTTATACCAACTTAAACCTAAATAGGTCCTTTTGAAACGTCAATAGTTTGTCAGTCTGTTCGTCAGTGAAGCTAGGTGCTCGTTCCAAATTGTAGAATCGAATGGAGAAGAACGAGCAAGAAACTTCACCGATCATCATCATCATCATCCTATATAAGTGCCCACTGCTGAGCAAAGGCCTCTTCTCACACGGAGAAGGTTCGAGCATTAATCACCACGCTTGCTGAAATAACAAGTCGTGGTTTCTTCACGATATTTTCCCTCACCGAGTACAATAAATAAAGTAATCAAAAACAAATGTAACAATGTTGAGTTATAACTTAAAAGTAATAAAAAATCACATTATTAAGTGTGGGAGAGCCATGCTTCCGCACGAATGGGTCGGCTCGACCGGAGTGATATCACAGCCTCGCAGTAAACCGGCGTAAAACAACCACGGCGTTGTGTTTCGCCGTGTGATTAAAGTTACCAGAGGCCCAATCCCCATCCCAAATTCCGAAAATGTCGGCAAAGCACTCGTAAACTCCACAGTTCTTGCGGGTGTTCATGGGCGGCGCTGATTGCGAAACCCGCTAAGACCAAGCCATTCTAGTTGAGGCTTCTCTATCTATATGTATAAAATCCAATGCCAAATTATTCGTGCAATCGTTTTCGTACTCGTATTCGTACAATAATGTCAAATTATTCGTGGAAATCCAGAAAAAGTTTTAACGTAGAGAAAATAAAAAAAAACCCTTGAAAAAGTGGTAAGTCGACATCCACGCGAGCGGATCGGCAGGCGACCGCTAGTTTATGATAAAAAGCAAGAAAGATCTACCTGATCTGCGATTTCTTTCTCCAGTGCTTCGACGCTGGTGGATGCAGGGGCCGCTGGAGCTGATTGCTTCGCAGCTTCGAGCTGCTTCTTCAGCTCCAGCAGCTTGGTTACCTCAGGCTGCCATACCGTCTTGTCTTTAGTTGACGCTTTTAATTGACGCACTTTTTCACCCTGGAATTTTTATTTATAAACTAGATACAATAAGCCAAAAAATTATCCTAAAATGATGACATAATATTACCTATATTAAAATTGTGGGAGAGCCAAGCTTCGGCACGAATGGGTCGGCTCGACCGGAGTGATACCACGCCCAATCCCTCCCCTTCCCCTATCCCTTCCTTTCCCCTATCCCTTCCTTTCCCCTATCCCTGCCCGTTCCTTTTATCCGCAACCCCTATCCCTAATAGGCCGGCAACGCACTCTTAACTCATTTGGTGTTGCGGGTGCCCATGGGCGGCGCCGATTGCTTACCATCAGGTAATCCGTCTGCTCGTTTGCCGACTTAGACCATAAAAAAAAACAAAAAAAATATACACGATTGGAAAGATCAGACTGCTAAAAAAGTATTCAAAAATAAATCTAATAAAGTACCTTAAAAAAACTATACAATTTATTTATTACTATACTACATTAAGCGTGTATTGTACGTATAAATCTTCCTGGAGAATCATTACTCTATCTATTAAAAAAACCGCATCAAAATCTGTTGTGTAGTTTTAAAGATCTAAGCATGCATAGGTACAGACAGGCGGGAGATAGCGACTTTGTTTTATACTATGAAGTGAAGCCCATTTCTGATCTGTATGTTCTCTCAGCATCATTATGTTGCACTAATTACACTCGCACGGTTTCACCCGCTGCTCGGTTCCATTTAATCGTATCGTGATGTTTTATAGCCTATAGCACTCAGGAACATTGTAGCTATCTATCAGTGAAAGAATTTTGGAAATCCGACCAGCTGTTCCAATGATTACGCCCTTTATACAAACTTACAAATTTTACCTCTTTATAATATAAGTATAGATAAAGATTAAAAAATAAATAACTGCCAACGGAAAACCAGTACCACATACCTGTTGCTTAACAGCTTCTTCGAGATCGGCGACGGTTCCAGCTGAACCATTTTCCTGAAAAAACAAGAGAATTTAAAAGTAAATAATAAATATTTTAATCGTCGAATATAGGTTCAAAATATTCAAAATTTATCGATTTTATCGGATACGTTACGAAGAATATTCTGAGCAGCTGCGAGAGTTGTTTTCCCTTAGTACTTTCCACCATCGTAACATCACACAATCGGCGAACCGTCATCACTTCGTGGTGGATATCCTAATGTGGGAGAGCCATGCTTCGGCACGAATGGGTCGGCTCGGCCGGAGTGATACCACGGCCTCACAGAAAACCGGCGTGAAACAACCACAACGTTGTGTTTCGCCGTGTGAGTGAGGTTACCGGAGGCCCAATCCTTCCCCTACCTCAATCCCTTCCCAATCTCAAAATCCCCAAAATATCAATCCTTATAAGGTCGGCAACGCACTCGTAACTCCTTCTTTGTTGCGGGTGTCCATGGGCGACGCCGATTGCTTACCATCAGGTAATCCGACTGCTCGTTTGCCGTCCGATAACATAAAAAAAAATATCCCACCCACCCACGAAGCGGTTCGTCTCCAGTTTTATAATCAGAACCGCTATGGAGTGGGTTTCTTTGCCGGAGTCTGTGTTCCGCGATGGGTATAATCTGGGTATCTTCAAGGCCCAAGTGAATAGGTTGCTTATGGGTAGACGTGCTCCATCGCAGGTCGCATTATCGCTTACCACCAGTGGCAGAGGACGTCTTGTAGTAGCAGATTTTTTTTTAAACGTAATCTGCAGATTTCTATTTTGCCTCATAGAGCCAGTATACCACCATAGATGGGAGTTAACAAGGCTGATATTCAGCCGGGGTTGAGGGTCTAGCGCAGTAAGGTAACTTAGCCTCATGGCCAGAAGAGAAGAAAAAAACGGGGTGGTATTAAGTCAGTAAGAGACACTCCATCCTTCATTCAAGTCGGGAGAAGTCATTCGATTTTCAACCTCAAAATTAAAAAAAAAATCAGTGTATAATGTATTCACTATGATTATTTAGACACCACTGACATACGGTGAAGGAAAACATCGTGAGGAAACCTGGACTTATAATTTCTAATTATAAGTTTGAAATTAAAATTAAAATGGGACTGGGCCGGACACGTCAGCCGAATGTATCCGAAGAGATGGGCCACTATAGTCACCCAGTAGGCTCCGGATAAGATGGCGTGAAGATCTAGACTCCTATCATCAAACTGGTGGACACGGTCAAAAGATAGAAAGGTGTGGAAGCGAGATAGGGAAGCCTTTGCCGAGTAGTGGGTCAAAACAGGCAAGAAAAAAAAGTTTGAAAAAGTGGTGATTAATGCTCAAACCTTATACGTGTAAGAAGAGACCTTTACTCAGCAGTGGACACTTAAAATCTGATGATGTGATGTGTGTATAAGTTTTTTTCTGCTGCCTATCTCATATGGAAAAACGGCAATCTAAAAACAAATCTTTATGTTGATCACATAAAACTAAAGTGTGGGAGAGCCATGCTTCGGCACGAATGGGTCGGCTTGACCGGAGTGATACCACGGCTTCACAGAAAACCAACATGAAACGACCATAGCGTTGTTTTTCCACCGTGTGCCTGAGGTTACCAGAGGTAGACCGAAACTCTACCATTCTGCCCATCCCTTTCCAATCCTTAAATACCCGAAACCCTTCATAAAAGGGGGCGAGAGAGAGAGTGTCAGACATTGACTAAACCCCCCCCCCCCCCCCGTTCCTTCTCCTGCTCTGGGCCGAGGTAGCGGTGCCTCATTGCGCTTACCCCCTAACCCCAATCTTCATAAAAGGCTGCCGATTGCTTACCATCAGGATATACGTCGGCTCGTTTGCCGACCCATACAATGAAAAAAAAAAAATTAAAAAGTGGTGTTTAAATAAATACCTTATTGGCCCTTTCGCTCTGTGTGCCAGCATATTTGGCCCTCAGCTTGTATAGTAACTCCGTTTCAATCTTGGCGAACAATGGTTCCGGTTTGCCGATGACATGTCCCGCTGGTAAATACTGTATCAGCGACGGATTCCTGTACAGAATTGGTCATTTACCAGGGATGTTAGGGAGCTCGCATAATATTTAAAATCAATATAAATTTGATTTTTGATTTATCTCTTAGACATAATTTGCGAATCGCATGTGTGGTAACGCCATAATCCCCGGGCTCTCGAATTCCATTACGATCGTAGATAGTATGTTTCCATAATCCCCCACACTTAGCAATTCCCATAATGAGTGCGCTAGGGAAGTTTCAATAATCCCCACACTTGGCAAAAGTCGATAATGATCTTAGATGAGTGCATTCCCATGTTACCAACATCGCAAAAGTCAATTATATTTGTATACTATGTATTTCCATAATCCCCAAGCTTGGCAATTTACATGGGGATTTGCAGGACATTATCTAAGAGTCTATGCGCATAAGCTACTCACTCAGGATTGATCCTCAGCGCTTCTGGCTTCAATTTGAGCTGTTCTCTGAGCTTCCTCGTGGTCTCCGGCAGATACGGTGTAAGCAGAGCGCATAGTAAAGCTACTAGCTGACAGCATAGACCTATAGCGGTGGCTCCACATTTCCTGCAAATAAACAAAAAAAATATTGTCAAAATCCTTGGAGGCCCAATCCTTCCCTCCCCAAATCCCCCCATAATCCCTAAATCTCCCACATCCCTATTGTCTAATAGGTCGGCAGCGCACTCGTAACTCCTCCGTTGCGGGTGTCCATGGACGGCGCTGATTGCTTACCATCAGGTAATTCGTCTGCTCGTTTGCCGACTTATCACATAAAAAAAAAATCTAAGTGAAGCCTTTCTTCTACATACTTCCAGAACCTCTACAATTCCTGTACACAAATATCTACAGTAGATACAAGCATGAAAACACCGAAACACTGAAGTCTGCCAGAGACATGAATGACTGTCTTGGATCCCGCAACGAAATAAATCTGAAGATTAATTCAAACTAGCAGTACGCCCTTGCTTCGCACGGATATCAAACCATTTTTCTGGTTACTAATTCCCCATTATCTCCCTACTTTTCTAAAATATTCTTTCGTAAGGACCTTATCCTGACGATATCAAACAAAAACGCGGTACCCTAATCTCCCCCATCCCTTCCCAATCCTTAAATATCCGAAACCCTTATCCCTAAAAGGACGGCAACGCACTCGTAACTCTTTTGGTGTTGCTTCGTGTCCATGGGCGGTGCTTTGCTTACCATCAGGTAATCCGACTGCTAATTTGCCGACATACACCATAAAAAAACACTGTCGTTTTTGCGTCGGGGTTCAAAAAAACACTTACTTGTCATCATCAGACCCTTTGAGCAGAACCCAGGGCTGCTGGAACTGCATATGCTGGTTTCCAAGCCGAGATATCGACAGGACGTGGCGTAGAGCCTCGCGGAGTCGACCCTTCTCCATGTGTTGTACGTACGCTGGAAGGGGGGATGAATTGATATAATACGTGTGATGATGATATACATGTGGTATTTACTCAAAGTAAAAGCCAAGCAAACTGAAAAAAATCTTTGATTTTTGTAAAAGAAACACTACCTACTAAATCTCTATCATATCGCTTCGCTCTTGACGCCATCTTTACTATCAATACTATTTATGTAATTTCCTTCCATCCCTTTCTTTCCTATGTATAAAACTCTTTCGTTCACTCCTTTTTTTTGTCAGGGAAAAAACATCAAATGACTTCTCCCGCCCACCTCATTGCGCTTACCCCGCAACCCCGCCTGACCATCAGCCCTATAGCCCCGTCTGTGGTGGTCTATTGGCTCTTTGAGGCAATCCTACGTTTCGTTTCCCACAATAAGGTTTCTCGCATAAGGATTTTCTCCTGTGTCGTGAATGCATTTACAAGTATACAAATTCACGTACACATCACACCTAGACTCGAAACAACAAATTGTAGATCACACAATGTGTTCTTCCTTGCGTGAATCAAACCCGCGACACCTTGTGCAGCCACTACGCCAACCGTGCAGTCAATACAAAATTATGATATTATCGAGGTGAGGGTAAATAAGCCTTCTGTTGCATGATGGAGTAGGACCGAAACCTGGCAAGTACCAATGGGACTTTTTCCGAGTTATATGTACTTTCTGTGATTATTTAGACACCACTGATAAACGGTGAAGGAAAACATAGTGAGGAAACCTGGACTTATAATTTCTAATTATAAGTTTGAATTCGCCAAACCGGCTTGAGCAAGTGTGGTGATTAATGCTCCAACCTTTTCCGTGTAAAAAGAAGCCTTTGCTTAGCAGTGGGCACTTATAAGCTGATGATGATGATGATTTGGGGATTGGGGATGGGTTGGGGGGAGAAAGGGCCTCCAGTACTCTAACTTACACGACGAAATAAAACATAAGCGTTGTTACTCTGTGAGGCCGTGGTATCACTCCGGTCGAGCCGACCCATTCGTGCCGAAGCATGGCTCTCCCACACATAATAAATATTGTGTTTTTTAATTACTTTTAAGTTATAACTCAATATTGTTGCACTTGTTTTTGATTACTTTTTTTTTTTTTCTTTTTTTTTTTTTTTTTTTTTTAAAAAAAAACGTTGCCCCACACTAGGATTTTCTCCTGTGTCGTGGGTGCGGTTACAAACATACAATTTCACATGCACATGACACCCAGACCCGGAACAACAATTTGTGGATCACACAAAGAGTTGTTCCGTGCGGGAATCGAACCCGCGACACGTTGCACGGCAGCCAGTTGCCCAGCCACCGCACCAACCGTGCAGTCGTGAAACAATCACAGCGTTAACCTCACTACTCTGGTAACCTCTCACTCTCATGACGAAAATCGTCATGAGAGTGAGAGGTTACCAGAGGCCCAACCTCACCGCTCGCCCCATCCCTTCCCAACCCTTAAAATCCAAAGGCCTTATCTCTAAAAGGCCGGAAACGTACTCATAACTCCTTTGGTGTTGCGGATGTCCATGGGCGGCGCTGATTGCTTACCATCAGGTAATCCGTCTGCTCGTTTGCCGAACTTATTGTTACGTGCCTGACGTCACGTTCCTGACTATGCGGGCTTGGGTTACGGGATTGGATGAAATGAAACACTAATACCGGTTTTCAGACTTTCTATTGCGCTTAAGTTACAGCGTCCACGGAGTTAAGTTATCGGCGTTCCTCTCCAGCAGAGTCCGGCCGACTGACACAACTTTGCCGTTCACGCTAACTTCACTTAACTGACTGCACTTCACTATTTCACTCACTTTTCTTCTTTTTCACTTCTTCCTTTTCTTCCGAATCGCTTTAGACTTAGAACTCAACTGCCAGCGGTGAGCCGCAGTTCCGCTTATATACCCCCGGTCAGGTTCTGGAACATTCAATTTCGTTATTCTTTTTGATCGTCATGCCTCCAGAACCTTCCAATAATTTCGTTATTCATTTTTATTTACTCTCCTTCTTGCTCTTTAATTTTTCATTTCTTTTACACAAATAATTCCAGAAAGTTCGACAAAACTTCCATCAACTAAAAAACTTCATGTTTACGGCGGGACTCGAACTCGGGGTCTCTGTGGTGTAATCCACACGCCTTGCCGATTACACCAACTCGTGTTGACAATTCACGACGAAATTTACAATCTCTAGGCAACGTTTGACAACCATCCATTGACGTCATGATGTCAAAGAGTTTGAACCACTTTTCCGTCACACTGCCCCCCTCTTAGATTCGCTCGTCCCGAGCATCGTTGCTGCCGTAGTACTTCGCCAACCTGTCTATATGGACAACTTTCAAAGGGCTCCTTGAAGTCTTCCGAATTCTGTAAGTAATGTCATTGATCTTCGTGACTATCTCATAAGGACCTTCCCAACTCGGTTGCAGCTTCGGAGATTTTCCCTTCCTTCTGACTGGATTATGAAGCCAGACCAATGACCCCTCTTCAAACCCAACAGAATTGGCTCGTCGATCATAGCGCGTCTTTGCGCGATCACTAGCTTGAAGACCGGCCTCCCTGATCTGCTCATAAATGTCCAACATTTTTGTCCTTAACTCGCTTATGTAATCGCTAAACTCGGTGCGAGAGTCACCAGGTGGACAGCCCGATACAAGATCTGCCGGTAATCTCAATTCCCTTCCAAAATTTGCAAATGCAGGCGTCTTTGCGGTACTTTCATGTACAGCAGTCCGATAGGCAAGCAAGAAGAGAGGTATGTAAGTGTCCCAATCTCTCTGATGGCTGTCAACCACCTTTGCTAAGTGTCGCTCCAATGTTTGGTTGAAGCGTTCGACCATGCCATCTGACTGTGGATGATAAGGGGTCGTTCGAGTCTTATGGATTCCCAAAAGTTTACAAGTTTCCTGAAAAACTTGGGATTCAAAGTTCCGTCCTTGATCACTGTGCATCTCCAAGGGCACTCCGAATCGGGTGAATACCTCGTTTACCAACTTCGTGGCTACCGTTACTGCCTCTTGATTCGGTATGGCAAAGACCTCCGGCCATTTTGTAAAATAATCCATAACCACTAAAACGTAGCGATTGCCCGAATCAGTGATTGGAAATGGTCCAGCGATGTCTAAGGCTATTCTCTCCCAAGGCATACCAACATTGTAGATTTTCATCGCCCCTCTGCTTCTTGTTTGTGGACCCTTGACAGCTGCACAACTAGTGCATTTCCGGCACCAATCTTCGACGTCATATTTGCAATGCAACCAATAAAACCTCTCCTTGATCTTCACCAAAGTCCTCCTAATTCCCAAATGTCCTCCAGAAGATCCATCATGGAACGCTTTTAATACATCCCTTATTTTTGAACGAGGCACCACCAATTGCAAATGCTCATCCTTGCCGTTTGTTGATTCCCATTTCCTGCACAGAAGTCCGTTATGCAGCGTAAGGCTTTTCCACTGTGCCCATAAACCTTTCGTTACCGCGCTATATTGGGCGACGTCACTCCAACTTGGCTTGTTACCACTTCGTAGCCACTCCAGTATTGGTTTAATATCTGCATCTCTTTCCTGTTCTAATTTCATCGCATCATCTCCCCATGCCTCGTCAACAGTATCAGTCCTTATCACCTTAAGAAAAGCAGTTTCCTTCTTGGCACAATGCTTGCAATCTTCCACGCATGGGCGTCTCGATAATGCATCTGCGTTGCCATGAATTCTTCCGCCGCGATGTTCGATTTCAAAGTCAAATTCCTGAAGTTGTTCCAACCATCTGGCTACTTGGCCTTCGGGATCCTTAAACTGAAGCAGCCATTTCAAAGCAGCGTGATCAGTTCTGATCAAAAATTTCCGTCCCAGTAAATACTTCTTGAAATGGTGCAGAGTTTTGACTACGGCCAGCAATTCCCTCCTGGTCACGCAATAATTCCTCTCCGGCTTGGATAGTGACTTGCTGAAGTAAGCAATAACCTTCTCCTGCTCACCATCGCGTTGTGAAAGGACACCTCCTATTCCAATATTGCTGGCATCCGTATCAACTACGAATATTCCTTTCGCACTGGGGTATCCGAGAATTGGTGTGTTACAAAGCCGTTCTTTTAGTTCTCGAAAGGCTTGCTCACAATCCTCGCCCCAGATAAAGGCACGTTTCTCCTCTGTCAATCGATGCAATGGCTTGGCAATGTCCGAGAATCCTTTCACAAACCGCCGATAATACGAGCACAATCCAAGAAATGCCCGAACTTGCGTTTTGTCTTTAGGTGTTGGCCATTCCTTAACAGCGGCAGTCTTGGCTGGATCAGTCTCAATTCCTCTCTCAGAAATAACATGTCCTAGATAATTCACTTCGCGCTTGAAGAAAGAGCATTTCTTTGGACTCAACTTTAAATTTGCTCCACGCAGCTTGTCGAGTACCTTTTCCAATTTCCTTAGATGATCGTCAAAATCCCGTCCAACAATGATGATGTCATCGAGGTAAACTAGGCAGGTTTCGCCCAGCAGTCCCGCCAGCACCTGTTCCATCAAACGCTCAAAGGTTGCCGGTGCATTGCATAATCCAAATGGCATCACCTTAAATTGCCAGAGTCCCTTCCCAGTTGAGAATGCGGTCTTTTCCTTGTCCTTGGGATCCAAATCCACCTGCCAATAGCCGCTTTTCAGATCGAGCGTTGAAAACCATTTCATGCCACTCAGTGTGTCAAGTGTGTCATCGATTCTTGGTAACGGGTAGCTATCCTTCTTGGTTACATCATTCAATCGTCGATAATCTACGCAAAACCTCGTTGAACCATCTTTCTTCTTGACAAGCACGACAGGTGAACACCAAGGGCTAGAAGAGGGCTCTATCACGTCATTTTTCCTCATATCGTCAATCATTTCTTCAACCTCTTTCTCACGAGCGAATGGTATACGTCTGGGCCTTTGACGAATTGGCATTGTATCACCTGTGTTTATTTTATGCTTCACCAAACCAGTTCGGCCAATATCACCATCGCTTCTTGAAAACACATCAGAGAATCGAAGAAGTAAATTTCTAGCTTTCATAGTCTCCACTTTTGTCAGACTTTTGTTTTCGTCTAAGATTTTCGTTACAAAGTCTATTCCCGTACTGTCCTTCTTCACAAGATTCTCCGAGCATTTTCTTATCCAGGCCACTTCTTCCAATACGCCCACAGGCTCTCCTTCTTCAATCGTAATTTTTGAATCACTGAAGTTGAATACCGGAATGCGGTTGACATCAGATGACCCCACGACAGTTCTTGCCGGTAGCCATGAGCTTACGTGTTCCGATTTATCAATCACAGCGCACCTTCGAGGTAAACTTCCTTCCTTCCTCCTAGGTAATGCGATTGGTACGAGAGTCTGTGATTTTGGTGCAAGAACAGTTCTTCTTAAACAGCAAACTTTTCCCAGGGTTCCACCCTTCATCGGAATTTCCTCAGTTCCACATAGTAAAACTCCAGATTTTAAGTCGATGTTACACTGGTGCCCTCGCAGGAAGTCAAGTCCCAGGATGCAGTCATCCAGAATTTCGGCCACAATAACCTCATGTCGATAAACACGTTCCCCAATTTTGATCGTTACCTGCAGTTTTCCACTTATCGGTATGCACTGGCCGGTAGCTGATTTCATTCGTAGGCCGACAATTGGTTTAAGGTGTTTCCTGATGTTTTGCCCGAGCAGCCGAACATTTATCACCGTCCTTGAAGCTCCAGTATCTAATGTTAGCTGACTGTTTTTCCCATTTACTTGACCGTCTATCACCAGAGTATTTCCATCGTTAGTTTGCTTGATGTAGATTGTTGGGGTTGTTCCACTACCGGCCAGCGCCCACCCCGCAGCCCTGGCTGGATTTAAGTTTCCCTGCTGGTCAGAAGTTGAGACCGCCGCGTCCTGGCGGTTCACCTTCTTCGGGCAGTTACTACGCATGTGCCCACGCTCTCCGCATCCATAGCACATGAAGTTACGACGGCGTGGAGGTACCTGCTCCGTTGTCGTCATTTCCCGCAGACGTAAGGTACGGGAGTTACCACGCACGGCTTCCACTTCCAATGCATGGGCCAGAGCTTCTTTCATGTTCTTGTGATGGCCCAGATGAACAGCAGCTCGTACTTCGGGGTCCCGAACACCGTCAATGAATGCTTGGAGAAGCGTGCCTTCAATCATTGACGGAGTCGACCGGAAAGCTCGACGCACAAGTTTCTCGATTTCCACGGACCATTGCTGTAGACTCTCATTAGCACGCTGAGTACGCTCTTTTAATTGCGCTCTGTACACGTGCTCGAGGTGGCTGTCTCCAAAACGTGCCTCAAGTGCGTCGAGGAGGGCACTAAAGCTGAGATCCCCACTTGCGCCGATAGCTTCCAGCACTGAGAGCGCTTGATCTTCTTTCAGCTCCCGCAGCTGTTCTGACTGACAGCGTGCTTGCTCTTCTTGGCGGCGCGCTTGCTCTTCTTGGCGGCGCGCTTGCTCTTCTTGGCGGCGCGCTTGCTCTTCTTGGCGGCGCGCTTGATCTTCTTTCAGCTCACGCAGCTGTTCTGCCATCATTTGCCGCAGCTGTAGCAGAAGATCCATCTGCACAGGCTTGGCTTCTGCATCGCTGGTCTGAGCTGCAGCACCCTCTTCCCTCACACGCTGCGCTTCTGACATAGCACGGGTACTCACTCCTCTTACGTCCTGCGGCACTAGCGGCATTTTTCTCCAATCCCACTTCTGACACCAAATGTTACGTGCCTGACGTCACGTTCCTGACTATGCGGGCTTGGGTTACGGGATTGGATGAAATGAAACACTAATACCGGTTTTCAGACTTTCTATTGCGCTTAAGTTACAGCGTCCACGGAGTTAAGTTATCGGCGTTCCTCTCCAGCAGAGTCCGGCCGACTGACACAACTTTGCCGTTCACGCTAACTTCACTTAACTGACTGCACTTCACTATTTCACAGCACTTCACTATTTCACTCACTTTTCTTCTTTTTCACTTCTTCCTTTTCTTCCGAATCGCTTTAGACTTAGAACTCAACTGCCAGCGGTGAGCCGCAGTTCCGCTTATATACCCCCGGTCAGGTTCTGGAACATTCAATTTCGTTATTCTTTTTGATCGTCATGCCTCCAGAACCTTCCAATAATTTCGTTATTCATTTTTATTTATTCTCCTTCTTGCTCTTTAATTTTTCATTTCTTTTACACAAATAATTCCAGAAAGTTCGACAAAACTTCCATCAACTAAAAAACTTCATGTTTACGGCGGGACTCGAACTCGGGGTCTCTGTGGTGTAATCCACACGCCTTGCCGATTACACCAACTCGTGTTGACAATTCACGACGAAATTTACAATCTCTAGGCAACGTTTGACAACCATCCATTGACGTCATGATGTCAAAGAGTTTGAACCACTTTTCCGTCACATTATACATAAATAATGTGTGAGTTAATACGTACCAACAACCTCCCTATTGACTAAAGCGATGAGCTCGAAGTCTGCCTGTGTAAATGCCACGTCCGGGACTCGACCCTTGAACGTGTTCGCACAGAAACTCAACGACCGATGACAGAAGTTACCCAAATTGTTTAATAACTCCGAATTGTTCCTGTAACAACGAAAATCACAAATTAAATCCAACTAATATTAAAAATGTGAAAGTTTGTGAGAATGCTTGGATGTCTGTTTGTAATTCTGAAACGCAAAAACAGATGGATCGATTTGGTTGAATTTTTTTATGGAGATAGATTGATTTATTATATTTAAAACCTGGATTAAGACAGGTCGGCAAACGAGCAGACGGATTACCTGATGGTAAGCAATCAGCGCCGCTCATAGACACTACAAATGCGTTGCCGATTTCTTGTGGGTTATTAGGGATTTAAGGATAAAGGATTTGAGGATTAAGGATTGAGACGAATAATTGGGCCTCCAGTAACGACACTCACACGGTGAAACACAACATAAGTGTTGGTTCACGCCGGTTTTCTGTGAGGCCGAGGTATCACTCCGGTCGAGCCGACCTATTCGTGCCGAAGCATGGCTCTCCCACACATACACATAGTTTTTCAATAAAATGTGTCACGGTAGTTATTAAGTAAGTGTTTTCATGTTTCACGCCTTATTATCTGTGACGCGGTTACATCACGCCTTTCGAGCCGGCTTATCTTTATATAAATAATTCTGCTGTACGTGTTTATATCATTGAACTACTAAACGGCTTGACCGATGTAAATGATTTTTTCTGTACGCGTTTGAGTGGCGCCCTCGATGGTTTAGGTTCAGCCCGGCAGATGGCGCTGATTGTGCAAGTGCCAAGAATATTATATACAACACTGGATGTTGCCCTTACAAGAAATTATTGAAGCCGAGTTTATTCACCTTTCGTATGTTTTTTATCTCGCTCACACTTGAATAAAATGTTGCCATAATAAAATGACTTTTTACCTTGGTAACTGATAATAAATATATGACCAAAAGAAAGGCATACATATTTTATGTTTATTTTGAAATCCAAATATCAGCCTTAAAAAATTAAACAATTTAAAAGTTATTCATAATTTATTCAGGCTATTTTAAAGTTGTTTTTTTATTAAAATTATTTTTAAGTTTACCCACTTTTAAACTTTTAACGTGGAGTTCAAAACTTGTAACACTGTTGGGGTAGTATTATCCAAAATGGCTACTCTGTCAATTATTTTTCGACTACTTGAAGTGTTTGACTGAAGTATTTCGAGGATTTGTGAATTAATTTAAAGTGCCTTAATATGTATTGTGTAGTCAAAGATTGTCCAAGTGTATGGAACCCGACATCAAATGTCATCTTTCACAGGCAAGTCCAGAAATACCATATTTTAAGTTATACATTATCTTTACCTATTTTATGCCAATATTTAAAAAATCTGTAAATATTTACGTTCGAAACGGTGTTACAAACATTTATCTAATAATCTTTGTCATCGTTTATAAATTTATATGTGTAAATAGCATTTAATTATTAAAAAACAGGTACGTTTAGTCTTAGACGTCAAAATTATGTGTTTGTAAACAAAGAGCTAAAGAGTGACCATATTTTTTAAGTTAGGTAGATACTTTTTGATTTATGGAATGGTTGAATTTTATGTAGGCCTCGTTGCTCTCATAATGCGACTAACGTATTATACCTGGGGGTAAAACAGAAAGGTCTTCAAATTTTAACAATTAAAAGAGTACCGAAACTAAGGTTAGAGAGGTTACTGCTATTTTGCTCTAATTATAGTAAATTAAATCAGTCAACTCGGTTAAAGGGTATATATACAATTAATTTTATGTTTCAGTTTTCCCAAGGACTCGGAAAAAAGGCAGAAATGGTTGTCTGTTATACCATTAAAAGGGAAGTTTTATGAATCAGCAAAGATTTGTGGCTTACACTTTAAGCCGGAGAATTATGATCCATTAAGACCAAAAAGGCTTTTAAATAGTGCTGTTCCGGTTTATTCTGTACAATTATGCTCCTGTGGTAATAATGTTATGGTAAGCATTTTTTAAATTTTCACAATGTGCTGCTTACCCATCCGACAACCATGTTGAGAATAATATTTCGAATTACAGGCATGTAAAACGCCATTCAAATGCTTGGTTTCATCTAATGCAATGATACCGACAGAAACTGATACTTGTTCCACAGTGTCAGGAAAAGAACACAGCTATTGTGAAAAGGACATACACATTATACAAAATGAAAATATTGTAAGTATTTAACTTATTGTCTAGTGTTATGTTTTTAACCTTTTCAAAATTTGCTGCTTACATACCTAGCAATCATGTTAACAATAATATTTCAAATTACAGGCAAGTACAGTACCATTCAAGTGCTCAGCTTCATCAAATGAAACGATGCCAACCCACAACACACACAGTGAAAATATTGTAAGTATTTAATTTATCGTGTAGTATTAGCTTGTATTTATGGCATAGAAGTCAAAATACATCCCTACAAAACCTTTAACATCCAGGTTAGGATTTTTTTGTTTTTTTTTTTTTCAAGATGTAGTAAGCTCATCATAGACATTGAGACCTTTTAATCATTTATTTATTTATTTATTTATATATACTTTATTGCACACATACACCAAGTAGCAATACATTGGATACAATGACCGAATGTTGTGGTTACAATGGGCGGTCTTATCACACAAGGTGATTTCTTCCAGACAACCTTTAGATGCAATGTATAAAAGAAATTGGGACATCTTAGTTGTTACTGATTATAATCTTTGTTCCACAGGTAGTTAATGAAAATGAACCGCCAGTGAAACGACGCCGCTTAAAAGATTTTAATGTTCAATGTAAAATAAAGTCACTTCGGGAAAAGTGTTTGGAAAAAAAGAAAAAAATTTTACAACAAAAAGTTGCGCGAAATGAACAAAAAATAAAAGATTTGAAGTCGTTAGTAAACATTGTTCGTAATTACACATCACAGTCAGAAATTGAAAATATTTTACAAGGCAATTTTGCTGATATTTGTAAACATTTTAACAAGAAGACAAAAGTCACATCGAGTTATAGTGATGAAGTTAAATCTTTCGCTTTGACAATGCATTTTTATTCGCCAAAGGCATATGCATATTTAAGAACTATTATGTCACTACCTCATTCAACTACATTATGGCGCTCTATTTCCTCTTTTAATTGTTCAGTTGGATTTTTGAATGAGGTATTCGAGTATTTGAAATTGCAACTTCCGGAAAAAAAGCATTTAAAAAACGTTGCGTTAATATTTGACTCAATGAACTTAAAACAAGACATTGCCTATTCACCAAAGCTCGGTAAGGTTTTTGGTTATGTTGATTTAGGAAGTATTCCTGTTAGTGACCCGGAGCAGCTGGCGTCCGAAGCATTAGTTTTTATGATAGTATCATATACTAATTATTTTAAGTGTCCGATTGGATATTTTTTTACCCCAGGCTGTTTATCTGGGGATTTACTAGCACAATTAGTAAATACAGCATTAATTATGTTAAAAGAAATAGGTATTACTGTGCGATCAGTAACATGCGATGGCGCAAAGTCTAATATTAAAGCTTACGAGACGTTGGGTTGCTCATTTGGAGACAGTGATTTTAGACCTTATTTTCCACATCCAAACGGAATATCAAAAGTGCACTGTCTATTAGATGCTGTACATATGTTAAAATTAGCAAGAAATGTAATGTTTGATTTTGGGTTAAAGTCATCAGATGGTGAAATATCTTTTAAGTACATAGAAGAACTTTATAAAGTACAAGAAGAAGAGGGGCTCAAACTTTCTAATAAAATTACGGGTACGCATGTAAAATTTCAAAATAAAAAAATGAATGTTCGATTAGCTGCTCAGACCCTAAGCTCATTGGTGGCAGATGCAATTGATTTTCTAAGGAATAGTGGTAATCATATATTTGATAATAGTGAAGCTACCACACATTTTATAAGAATAATAGATAGATTATTTGATTATATGAATTGTCGTTCGCCGTTCGGAAAAAATTTTAAATCACCACTTCACACCACACTCTTCTCGCAATAAAGAAATTTCGCAAACTTTTTTCCGGGAAACTGTTGATTATTTAAAAGAATTAAAAATCGATAACACTTATTTACGGTTTCATAATCGTAAAACATTTTGTCTTGGGTTTTTAATGAATATTTCGTCTCTGTCTTCATTATTTGAAGAGTTAACGTCTTTGCCTGAAAATCCTTTAAAATATTTCCTTACTTTTAAATGCTCTCAAGACAATTTGGAAATCTTTTTTTCTGTAATCAGAGCCCGAGGAAGAACTCAGGATAACCCCAGTCCGTTAGAGTTCAGAAATATTTTAAGAAAACTTCTATTTAGAAATTCTATTCAGCCTAGCATAAATGCCAATTGTATAGACGATACATTTCATACTAATCATATTATTGATTTTAAATCAAAAACTGATTCTATAATTGAACAAAATAATTTAAATAAAGATGGTGATGTTGATGATTTATTTAGTGAAATGATAAAAAATCTTGAAAGTCCTCAATTAAGTGCTTACCAAGAAAACGTGCTGTACTATATAACAGGATTCATAGTTCATAAAATTTTACAAAAAAATACTTGTAACTTTTGTCATCAATTATTAATTACCCAAAATGAAAAAAAATATGATCATGATTATTTTGTTAATATTAATAAATATTCTGCGTTTACTACCTTTGTAAATAGGGGTAAATTATGTTTCGCATCTGATGCAGCGTTCGAGATAGTCCGCTACTCAGATAGTTTGTTTAAGCATTCGGTATCCAAAGGATTGCTTCACAGTAAAACGAATAATTTGCAATCGAAATTAGTTTTAGCGGTCTTGGAAAAATTTTATCCATTGTTGCAGGAATTATTTTTGCCTAAACATCCAATCACTGATACTTGTATGGATTTACACGAAACTGAAATAATAAAATATATTTCGAATAGTTTTTTTAAAATAAGAATTCATTCTTATCTAAAAACTTATACTCAAAGGCTTTTGGGTGACATTCGCACTAAAAGGCAAAAATTGCATAAAACTGTTTTATTTTCACACGTTTGATATAAACTTGTGATTTTTATTAATAAAAATGATTTTGCACTGTAATGACTTTTTTTATATATCCCCGGTACGGCCAGACGGCAATCTACCAATTATTCACCATCCGCTAGCCCGCGCCTATGGTGGCTGAAAATCGTGATCGGGATCCTATCGTCAATGCACATGATCTTAATTTGCCCTCTTTCAATATGTATAAACATTTGTTATTATTTAAATAAAAAGGACTTGATACTAGGCTTTATGATTTGGAATAAAAACGAGGACTTGTAACTGGAATGGTTGATATCGTGGACTGGTAAGGACTTATGAAATCAAATATTGGCTTTTAGCTGCAAGTAATTTTTAAGCTTAAATGGGAACTTATCAGATTGACTTGTTTTCAAGGGGTGTTTTTGGAAGAATACCTCTCATAATAATCCTTATTGTTTACATACGTAGTATTTCTTTTTAATGTGTGTTGCTTACCTGCCAAAATATTCAAATAGTTCAATAGTGTCAAGTTTAATATCCAAAGAAATGATAACTAGATATAGCAATATTACTGTTAAGTGTTAACGGTTGTTTGTATACGTAAGTACTCTTAAGGGTGTATTAAGATAACATGCGCTGAACACGCACAGCATCCGCGCACGCTTTGTGCTCGCCTTAGACCTAAAACACACACAAGCGACGTAAAGCGACGGGGCCGGCGCAGCGCAGGCGATGGACAATTCACAAATATGCGGTAAACACTCATTAAATCTGTTATTCCAAAATCAAAATCGATCTTCACGGCACCAACCGTTTTTACCTTATCAGCACAAAAATACAGTTCAAAGCAAAAACCAACAGTATTTCTACATTTAAACATTGTTTCTGGCCATGAATGTTGACAAATATTTAAATATTTTTTATAATTTTTATGTAATGCCAATAAAAGTCCTAAGGTACCCTCAACGCATACGGTATGTTGGTGGCATGACGTAGTTTTCTCGATCAACGCAAATAGTGCGTTGGTAACAACGAATGGGATAAGGAACATACGACAGACAGAGAGACAGACAGACAAACATTTTAGCGATTGTATTTTTGGCATCAGTATCGACTTATCGACTACCAATCACCTCTGATAGTTATTTTCAAAATATATTTAATGTACAGAATTGACTTCTATACAGATTAACAATTATATGTATGTATAGATTACTAAACCAAAACTAATACGATCGAAAACCACACTAAAATAGAAATGTTGAATTTAAACAATCATAAATATGTACAAAATATCCTAAAGCTAGTAAAAATACTTGTCACCCTGATGAAAGAGATGGAAAACATAAATGACGTGTATCAAGGTCATTTTATTAGTCCTCAGTTCTTTTTTCTTGGTGCAACATCCAGTGTTGTATATAATATTCTTGGCAAGTGCCAAAAAGGATGTGATCTAAGAAACGGCTCAAACGATATCGCGGAAATTTTATAGAAGGTGGTTTTCGGAGAAGGTCGGCTAGTTATTTAACTTATTTTAACTTTATTATTATATTAACTTTATTTTTTATTTAAGTTATTTAACTTAGCTTAAGTTTCTGCACTGATTGGCGTCATGCGTTGGTTTCGGCCATCGCTGAAAATCAGCGCCGCGACACTGTCTCGTATGGGGTCGCTGCATAATGCTGAGCGAGGGCCATTTCGCGTGCTTGGGCGCATATTTTTCTCCTACCCTCTACTTTTGTTATATTGTAGTATAATTCTTAATGTATTTTTTTTTACCTTTATTTTTATTATTGTTCGTTTTGTGTCTTTTATGCGTCCCAGACGCGAATAAATACTTTTTGTTTGTTTGTTTGTAGTTGTAGTTGAGTATAAATCTATACTAACCTGGTGCCAAGTTCGATCCAGCTGAAACTCGAGTCTGAAGTTTCAGGCCGGATGCTGGCCAGGTAGAACCTCCACACGTCTGATGGTATACCCGTGTCCTGAAACATACGTTTAAAAATATGAATCAACCGGATAGCAGAGGTATTTAAATTAAGATAATTATTTATAAAAGTCGAGTTGAGTCGTGGTGGCCCGGAGATTAAGGCGTCCGCTTGTCATATGACGGTGCGGGTTCGAAACCCGGCAAAAACTAATGTGACTTTTTCCGAGGCACTTATATCTTGGAAAAAGTCACATTACCAGGTTTGACAGGGCACGACTGGCAAATTTCAACCTATATCCAAACGAATATTATAAATGCGAAAGTAACTCTGTCTGTCATTTCTTCACGCCTAAACTACTGAACCGATTTCTGTGAAATCTGGTACAGACATAGTTTGGAACTTGAGAAAGGATAGGATAGTTTTTATACCAAAAATTTGCCGAAGTCACTATTCCACGCGAACGGAGTTGCGGGCAAAAGCTAGTAAGTATTTTATATAATCAAAATTTCGTTTAAAAATATTACAACAATAGTAAAAGATTTTTCTTTTTAAAAAAATTAGGAGCCAGCCGGCACATGGCCAAGGTACCGGTGGTTAGGGCTTCAGAGACATAAACCTCCTCACAATACGTGCCGTTTCAAGGAGGACTGCCTTCTGTATGAGGCCCTTGATCCATCCGCCTAACGTCAGCCTCTTAAGGTGGTTGTCGAGGGTTTGGGAACTAACCCATTTGCCGACACAACTATAGGCACAACGATAGCCGAGTCTACACTCAACATGTCAACAACCTAGAGAGCTAAGTCTAGATATTTTAGGAATCCATGTTTGTCAATTTAATATAACATTATTATTATAATTACCTGAGCATCAGTTCCGAAGACACCCACGCCTCTAGATTTTGAGAACTTGCCATCCTCGTAGTTTAGATATTCTAGAAACAAAAAACATTTAATTCATAGAAACAGTATCTATAAAGAAAAGTTTCAAAAATGAAATAAAATAAAGTTGCGCGTTGCATTACTTTACTGTTTTACGGTATATATAAATAAAAAACATGCATTTTCCACCACTAATGTAGGAACAGTTTAGAGTCTAAACAGTATAAAACAATTCAAGAGTGGACTGGAGCCTAAACCCTGTATTTCAGGACTCCAGGAATTTAAGCAGACTGCCGAAACGTTAAGCAAAAAATAAATAAAATATAAGGTACGTCCTATTATAAATCCCGTAAAACAGTCAAGAATGAAATAAAATTAATACAGAAAACCAGCGCCCCGCTCGACCTGCCTTATTTCTTTTTTTATGTTATAGTGCGGCAAACGAGCAGAAGGTTTACCCGATGGTAAGCAATCCGCACCGCCCATGGACATCCGAAACACCACAGAAGCTACGAGTGCGTTGCAAGCTTTTTGGGGGGGTTCCGGAGGTTTGGAAATTGAGGAATTGGGCAGTGGGGGAGGGAAAAGGCTTATAAAGGAAGAAGGTAGTAAGTGTGTATGTAGGGGGTAATCTTTGGAGCCGCTGATCGGATTGCCAAAATTCTAAAATTCACTGATAGATAGCTACAAACTATAGGCTATAAAACATGAGGCTACGATTAAATGGAGCTGAGCAGCAGGTGAAACCATGCGAGATTAGCTAGTTATCAATATCGTTTCTACCAAAATTTTCGAAATAACCAAGTAATTTATCGCAAAAAAACATGCCATCATAAGTTGCCTGTCTCATATAAAATTCATAGAAAGCTATAGTTGTTAAATTGTAATTAAACTATTTTTTTTATGTAATAGGTCGGCAAACGATCAGACGGATTACCTGATGGCAAGCAAATCAGCGCCGCCCATGGACACCTGCAACGGAGGAGTTACGAGTGCGTTGCCGACCTTTTAGGGATTAGGGATTGAGGAGGGATTGGGGGCGGGGAAGGATTGGGCCTCCGGTAACCTCACTCACACGGCGAAACACAACGCTGTGGTTGTTTCACGCCGGTCTTCTGTGAGCCCGTGCACTCCGGTCGAGCCGACCCATTCGTGCCGAAGCATGGCTCTCCTACGCTATATGGAATTTGACTAGTTGGATACTACTGGCTTACCTGTGGCGTAAAGATGACTGACGAGTACGTGGCCTTCGTTTACCCCCATCAAAGTGGCAGGGAACATGATGCAGTGGAACGGAACGTTATCCTTGGCCATAAACTGGTATAGTTTTACCTGTACACAAAAAAATTATATTATAACATTTCCCATAAACATGTCACAACGGAACAACTCTTTGTGTGATCTACAAATTGTTGTTCCGGGTCTGGGTGTGATGTGTATGTGAATATGTATGTATGTTAACGCACCCACGACAAAAGAGAAAATCCTTGTGAGGAACAATTTTAACTAATTACATTAATAGGAGATCTAACATCACTAATTAGTATGTAACTATAAAGAAATGTCTAAAAAATAAAAAATAAATTTAGGGGTGGAGTACCCCTCACATTTAGGGGGATGAAAAATAGATTATGGCCGATTTTCATAGATACCGGATAAGCACAAAAAATATCATCAAAATAGGTCAAGCCGTTTCGGAGGAGTAAGGCAACGAAAACTGTGACACGAGAATTTTATATAATAGGTATTTACCTATGAAATTGCCGTTCTGCAGTACTAGCCATTTCAAATCAAAATAGTTTTTGTTAGGCTAAGGCTAATTAATTTTGTTTTAAAAACATGGGATTCTTTTTCCAAAAGTAGTCATTGTTTATTGATTAGTGTTACATTTTCATCGCATTTCAAATCAAAAAAATCGTTTAAATTTTTTCATGCAAAACGGCAATTTCATAGGTAAAGACCTATTATTAGATGAAAATATTATTATACTATATCTAATGAGACTAAATAATAAATGTAAAATCAACTCACATTATATTCTTTATCGGGTTTCCACCATTTTTCGAATTCTTTAGTCGCGTTCTGGGTGATGCTGAGGTAGCCTATAGGCGCGTCGAACCATACATAGAACACCTGCAAATAGCACATCAATTTAAATAACATAAATCTAATTACATTACCTTAGTTAAAATGAAGATTTTTTGACTTTTCTACACAACCTCACAGAAAACCGGCGTGAAACAACCACAGCGTTGTGTTTCGCCGTGTGAGTGAGGTTACCGGAGGCCCAATCCTTCCCCTCCCCCAATCCCTCCTCAATCCCTAAATCTCCAAATCCCTAATCCCTAAAAGGTCGGCAACGCACTCGTAACTCCTCCGTTGCGAGTGTCCATGGGCGGCGCTGATTGCTTACCATCAGGTAATCCGTCTGCTCGTTTGCCGACCTACTACATAAAAAAAAAAAACATTTTCTTTTAATTAAATTTCTAGCAAACTTTCGAGAAATACATTCTACTTGTCGCTAAAACCTGATGTCTTTTTATTTAGGGATTGAGGAGGGATTAGGGGAGGGGGTTACAGGGTGATTGGGCATCCGGTACCCTCATTCACACGGCGAAACACAACGCTGTGGTTGTTTCACACCGGTTTTCTGTGAGGCCGTGGTATCACTCCGGTCGAGCTCTCACTCCATTCGTGCCGAAGCATGGCTCTCCAACACTTAATTGGTTTGTTTATTTATACCAATTTCAATTACTAATGTTTTTTTTTTCAATAAATCTCTGCTTACTTTATTCGTATACCCCTCTACTGGTACGGGCACCCCCCACTTAAGGTCTCTAGTGACTGCCCTAGCTCGGAGGGGTTCCCTCATCCACGCTCGAGACACAGCCCTCGCCGGCGGCGACCATTGCTTCTCCGTCGAGGCAATCCAAGTTCGGAGCGATGGTTCTAGCTGTGGAATGCATAAATATAATGAAATGCTATAAAAGGATAGCTTAAAAGTCCCTGTAAAGGTCTAATTGAAATAAATGATTTTTGACTTGACTATAAAGCCGCGGGCGGAATCTAGTCCTATATAAAAACACTTTATTTTAGAAGTTGGTTTAGGACAAATTTTTCAATGGTTAAATAAAAGTTATCTGCGGAATAATTATGATGCTGTCGCGTCAGAATGTTTGTATAAGACAGTGACAGCAACAATTTTATTTCTCAGATAACATTTATGACTGATTATGGAAAAATAAGCCCTAAATAAAAAAAAAAAACAGTTATTACCTGTCCCAATTCTATAAACAACTGTCGGCTGGGGGTCACGGATGGGGTCGTCCCGCAGACCTTACATCGTGGCGTTATTAGTTCGGTGGCAGTGATCAACTTGCCACATTTATCACACTGGTCACCCCGGGCACCTTCGTACCCGCAGCCAGGGTAGGGGCATGTACCTTCTACAAACCTAGAAGGGACAAGAACATCTTATTATAATCCTTTTCATGTTATAGGTCGTAAATGAGCTGACGGATAACCTGATGGTAAACGATCAGCGCCGCCCATGGACACCCAATAATGGAGGAGTTACGAGTGCTTAGAGATAAATTCGCAGTGTGAGTGAGGTTACCGGAAGCCCAATCCTTCCCCTACCCTTATCCCTCGCAAATCATTAACTATCCGAAACCCTTATCCCTAAAAGGCCGGCAATACACTCATTATTACTACTAGCATGGACGGCGCAGATTCCTTACCATCAGACAATCCGTTGGCTTACTTGCCAACCAATACCATAAAAAAAATCTATTTATCTAAACTATTAAAAAAAAATGAAGTTGACATGTCATGTCGAATTTGATATTTCGAAAATAGTATTGAATTCAATCATATTTTATTTCTTTCTTTCTTTCTTTCTTTAAATACTTTTTCCACAATTGTTGCACAATGGCGGACTTAATGCCGAAGGCAATTTATTTTGTTCTATCATCTTTCTCATTGAATTTGACATTTAATAATAATAATTAAATGCCAAATTGTCAATGTCACTTTGACATTAAAAAAAATTGTATTGCTTTTTACTTCTTACATTGAATTCTGAGACTCTTTTATTTTATAAATCCAAACTATAATATTAAAAATTCGAAAGTAACTCTGTTTTTCTGCCTGTCTTTTCTTCACGCCTAAACTACTAAACCGATTTCTGTGAAATTTGGTACAGACATAGTTTCGAACTCGAGAAAGGACATAGGATAGTTTTTATACCAATAATCTGCAGGAAGTCACTATTTCAAGCGAACGAAGTCGCGGGCAAAAGCTAGTATTGAATAAAAGCGAGAATGAGGGAGGTACCATACCTGTCTGCGAGGAACCTGTCACAGTTGGTGCAGAGTAGCTGGTCCACTGACTGCGAGCTGACGAACCCATTGTCTTTTAGCTTCAGGAACATTTTCTGGGCGATTCTAAGGACAAAATATGGTTGGAAGTCAGTCACATATAAATTACTAGCTGTTCTACGGTTTCACCCACGGGTTACTACTCCGCTGTCATGGGTTGCCGCATGATAATTTAGCCTATAGTTTCCTCGATAAATGAGCTATTTAAAATTGAAAGAATTTTTCAAATCGACTGCACGGTTGGTGCGTTGGCTGGGCAACTGGCTGTGCAACGTGTCGTGGGCTCGATTCTTGCACGAACAACTCTTTGTGTGATCCACAAATTGTTGTTCCGTGTCTGGGTGCGATGTGCATGTGAAGTGGTATATTCGTAACCGCAACCACGACACATGAGAAAATCAAAGTGTGGGACAAAGTGGTTATGAAAAAAAAATTCGACCAGTAATACCTGAAACTAGCGCGTTCAGACAAACTCTTTAGCTTTATAATATTAGTAGGTATAGATTTTCTCCTACCAATAATCAATCAAAAATTCCCTGCTATCCTACTATCCTACTATGATATTATAAGTGTGAAAGAATGTATGGATGTATGTTTGTTATGCTTTCACTCGAAAACGGCACGACCGCTTTGGTTGTTAGGTAGGTATTTATTTATATAGACGATACCCTGGATTAACACAAAGATTGCTTTTTGTCAACTTACTACGCGAGCGAACCCACGAGCGGATGCTAGTAAATCCTTATTTTTAAACAGCGAAAAATAATCTTTAATAGCTTAGCTTTTGGTATTTGATATACGCGAGACACAATGTGTTTTCTAATGTGTCACATATACCGGCAGACAAGAGATTAATACGATACACAGAAATCCAGACACAAATAAAAAAATATCTATAAATATATATATATATAATCAGTACAACAATTTTTCGTTCAGCAGTAACAGCTCTAGCGGAAATATTGAAATATTAAAAATGAAAGTAATTAAAGGAAAAATCATTATTCGGCATCAGTAAAAAAAAAAGAGTTGATACTCACTCAGTCTGCTGTGGTGTACTCGTTCGGCCGAAATAATCGAATCCGATATTGAACCAGCGATACACCGAGTTGTGAATGTCGAAGTATTTGTCACAGATCTCACGGGGAGTTATGCCTTCTTCTAGAGCCTAGAATAGAAAAAAAAAAACAATAAAAAAAGTAGTAATAGAATGCTGACCATTGGAAGAAGCGACCCGCCCCGGTCATTAAATGGGTGGGGCTAGAGGGGCTGCCAATACGCTTACTGACTATATACTATCTCGCTCGTTCCCAGCTCCCAAGGCTGTGTTTTTGAGGAGGGGTAATCATCAAATGGCTTCTCACCACCCGCTCTGGGTGGGGCAAGAGAGAAGTATCAGACTAACACCACCTGCGCCTTCTCGTGCTCCAGACTAGGCCCATTTTAAGAGCGGGGGGGGGGGGGGTCATCATATAGTTTCTTTCTCCCTGGACGGAGTGAGACGGAAGTATCAGACTTTTACTGCCTAAAAACCATCCAGCTCTTTCTTATGCTCCAAGCAAGCTTCCCTTTTTTGACAGGGGATGGGGGGGGGGGATCATCACATAGCTTCTTCCGCTCTGGGTGAGGCGAGAGGGAAGTAACAGATTCTTACTGAATAAAAACCTTCTCCTTCTCCAGACCAGGCCCCTCCTTTTAAGGGAGGGGAAATCATCAAATGACTTCTTCTGCTCTGGGTGGGGCGAGAAGAGACTGTCAGATTTACTGACTAAAAACCACACCGTTATTTCTCCAGAATCAGGGCGGTCCCTTTTTTCAAGCTGGGAATTCATCAAAAAGCTTTTCCCATCCTGAGTGGAGCGACACGGGAGTGTCAGACTCTTACTGACTAAAAACTACAATGTTCTTTCTCCACGCCAGTTCCCTTTTTAAATAAAGAAGGGGAATTCATAAAATGCCTTCAACCGGACTGAGTGGAGCGAGACGGGAGTGTCAGACTCTTACTGACTAAAAACCATTCCGATCCTTCTCTTACTTTAGGCCGAGGCCTCATACATTATTGCCGGTCCGGTCGAGCCGACCCATTCGTGCCGAAGTACGGCTCATTTAACAGTACACTATACTATATAAGTATATAATTAGTACATTACAAACAGAATTCTTACTGCCCATATTTATTTAATTATAAAACTATAGTCTGTTAATCTGTATATAATATGTATATTTTTTTTAATTATAAAACTTTAGTCTGTATATATGTATGTTTGTTGATCTCACCTTAGTTTCCGTTGCCGTCCCGTACTCGTCTGTGCCGCTTATATACAGGGTGTTGTAGTCGCATAATCGACAGTACCTTTAAAAAAACACAAAATCGATTTTATATAAAGGTACAATATACTACATAATAACCTATATCTATACTAATGTTATAAATGCGAAAGTAACTCTGTCTGTCTATCTTTTCTTCACGCCTATAAACTACTGAAACGATTTCTGTGAAATTTGGTACAGACATAGTTTGGAACTCGAGAAAGGACTAGTTTTTATACCAAAAGTCTGCAGGAAGTCACTATTTCACACGAAAGCTAGTATTTATTATAAATAAGATAGATTCCTGTGTCAAATAATGTAAAATTATGTAAAATTTATACCATAGTTTTTTATTTTGAAACAATTTATCCTCTACATTGCCCTATTATATCTCATAAGTGCCCACTGCTGAGCAAAGACCTATTCTCACACGGAGAAGGTTTGCCCAAGGCCGCCTTGAGCAAGCGTGGTGATTAATGCCACGCTTGCTCAAGGCGGATTGACAATTTCAAACTTATAATTAGAAATTATAAGTCCAGGTTTCCTCACGATATTTTCCTTCACCGTATGTCAGTGGTGTCTAAATAATCATAGAAAGTACATACTATAACTCGGAAAAAGTCACATTGGTACTTGCCAGGTTTGAACTCGGGCGTCTTAACCACTGGGCTATCACGACCACGACTATGAAAGAGGTACGTAATACGGTAGTTTCCAACAAGTCAAATTCAATACTTTTAATCAAAAGTCAAAAACGATACTTTTCTATGAACTACTGAGTTATGACGTCATAGTTTTTTTTTGCGTCAAATAGCTTACTTATTTCTTAATAATTAGCTACAAAATATCTAAACTTAGTGTATCGACCGATCGTTGAATGAGAGTATAGTTATTTTTCAATATTTTATTGTATTGTAACATCGAATTATTTTTTTTTTACTTTTTTTTAACGTGTGGGAATCCTCATGGATACCCTTTGTCTAGACAAGAGTGTCAGACAGCAGGTTATGTCGGACTCTTACCGACTAAAACCACACACTCAATCCCAGAAAACAATGAGAGGGTCACTGGGTAAACAAACTGACCTGCGACCCTCAAAAAAATATTTTTGGCCTACGATACTACCCGATTATATTTATTTCTTTTTTTTTTCTTTAAAACGTTGCCCCACATTAGGATTCTCTCGTGTGTCGTGGGTGCGTTTACAAACATACAATTTCACATCACACAAAGAGTTGTTCCGTGCGGGAATCGAACTCGCGACACGTTACGCGGCAGCCAGTAGTCATATTTCTATATTTGTATGTATATATGTTCAACCTTACCTGGCAAATATATCCGCAGAGAGAACGCAACCAATGATATTCCCCAAATGCGGTACGTTGTTGACGTACGGTAGCGCTGATGTTATTAATACGTTTTTCCTGTCTTTTACTGGTAATCTGCAAAAGATATATAAAATTTTAAACGATTGAGTTTTTTGCTCGTTCTTCTCCATTCGAATCTACCGTTTGGAATAAACACCTAGCTTGACTGATGAACGGCCGGAGCAGTTAAAGAACGGGATGGCTATAGTTTTTTTTTTTAATATGTCGGCAAACGAGCAGACGGATTACCTAATGGTAAGCAATCAGCGCCGCCCATGGACACTCGCAACGGAGGAGTTACGAGTGCGTTGCCGACCTTTTAGGGATTAGGGATTGGGGGAGGGGAAGGATTGGGCCTCCGGTAACCTCACTCACACGGCGAAACACAACGCTGTGGTTATTTCACGCCGGTTTTCTGTGAGGCCGTGGTATCACTCCGGTCGAGCCGACCCATTCGTGCCGAAGCATGGCTCTCCCACACTTAAACTTTAGTATTTAGTTATAAGTAAATCTAATTGTTATTAAAGATACTCACTGACCCCACAGTCAAATCATTACAACGGTTTTGTGGGGCTTAGCACATAAGATGGCTACCTTTGTAATATAAGATAAATAAATAATAATAAAAAATAATAGTAAGAGTCTGGTCTGGTCTGGTCACACTGGCGGTGGCATGGGCGCTGGATCGCTTAATTCCCTATAATATGGTTGAGTTGGGCGATGCTGGTGTACGTGTCATGTTCGTGAACGAGCGCCGTCAGTTGGGACTGGTCAGCTCCGGACTGTCTATTGTCCTTAAGGTTACTTTATTTTTGTTTTTATTAGTGTTACACTGTTCTCACATAATTGAACCAACTGTTTGTAAAAGGAATCTGTATGTGAAACTAATTTAAAAAGAGTAACCATGGAGTTTCTTGCTCGTTCTTCTCCATCGGAATCTACACTTTGGAACGAGCAAATAGCTTCACTAAGAGGACTGACCGACAGACTGACACTATATCTTCAAAATTTTTGTTTGACGTTCAAAAGTGCCTGTAAAGGTCTAATTGGAACAAATGATTTTTGACTTTTTTGTCTTTTTGACTTTCTGATACTATCTTAGCAAAAAAGACGCACAAATGACACTGACGTTTCAAAAATGCCTTTTTACGCTTTTATTTAAAATAATTTAAGTGTTGGAGAGCCATAATTCTCGAAACACATAAGTAATCGAAACTTTAATTTTTATTTTATTTTAAATTTAGAAAATTTAAATTAATCATATCTACCTACTAATTGTGTTGATTACGCCAAATATCTCTTATGAAGGGGATGTCCACCGTTCAGTAGTGGACGTCCACGGGTTGGAGATGATAATATGAAGCTAATTTACCAAAGAAAAGATTTCCAACTCACACTAATTTTCCGGGAATCAAAGGCTTCTGTAGTTTCTTGTGACCATTCAGCCAATTGTCTTTGGCCGCTTGTATTTCTTCGGCAGTAGGACCTAATTCGACTGCAGCGCCCTCGTCTGGTGAACTGTTGAAGAGAAACAAATACAGTATAGTTTTTGTTACTTAGAAAAGGGGGTAAGTAGGAGTGATTTCAGTAGTAGGATGATGAATAATAACAATAAATAATGTGTATCCGCAAGGCAGCTTGTGGCGAGCTGTTGGGAAGTGGCGACCCCACGGACCTGACTTCCAGGAGGTTTTTTTTTATATTATAGGACGACAAACAGACAGACGGATTACCTGATAGTAAGCAATCGGCACCGCCCATGGACACACGCAACACCAAAGGAGTTTCAAGTGCTTTGACGGCCTTTTAAGGATTAGGGATTTGGAGATTTAGGAACTGGGGAGGGATTAGGGAAGGGGAAGGATTGGGCCTCTGGTAACCTCACTCACACGCCGAAACACAACGCTGTGGTTGTTTTACGCCAGTTTTCTGTGATGCCGTGGTATCTCTCCGGTCGAGCCGACCCATTCATACCGAAACTTGGCTCTCTCACACTTACCACTGGCGTGTTGTTCTTCATCTCCACTCCAGCTAGTCCTCGTGACTAGCTGGAGTGAACACTGGTAAGGAACGAGCCCTCCTTCCTCATTCTTGCCTTAAGTGGCGATCCGCAAGAGTTAAAGGAGACTCGGGGGAGGGATATATCTCAGTAAGATGCTGGTAGGGGTCTTGACTGTACTTCCGGGATTGCTCTGATAGCCGTAGGATGCCTTCCCCAAGTAGCTCAAAGTATGTTGCCTCCGTGTCGCTACATGCTAGCGGCCGTTTCCGGGGACCCATTAATTTAGTTTGCCAATCATTCCCCGCCTATTTATCCGTATGTATTAATATCGATCAAGGGCAGGGGCCATAGTACTTCCATAGTTGTCATTCACTAGTTCATAGCAACCCATACTCATAACTCTATCAATTTTTACTACATTTCACAATAGTCCTGCATCGTCATCCAATCTGCCAAGGGAAAGAAATAAGTACTTACCCGACAGGCGAGGGTAAACTAGCCACTTGAGGAATGCCCAGAGCTGATGATGATCCAAATGGACCCGCAGCGGAGCCACCCCACTGTTTCACAGCTTCCTGATAGACAAAGTCACGTTATTGATCATCATAGTGTAGTAAGTATGGGAGAGCCATGCTTATTATGCATAAGTGGGTCGGCTCAACCGGAGTGATACCACGGCCTCAAAGAAAACTGGCGTGAAACAATCACAACGTTGTGTTTCGCCGTCTGAGTGAGGTTCCCGGAGACCCAATCCTTCCTATCCCCCCAATCCCTAAATCCCCAAATCCCTGATCCCCAAAAGGTCGGCAAGGCACTCGTAGCTCCTCTGTTGTTTCGGGTGTCCATGAGCGGAGCTGATTGCTTACCATCAGGTAATCCGTCTGCACGTTTAACTAATTTGTCGTTACTATGTGCGTCGCCACTATGGCATAGAGTCTGGTAGGGTGCTATAAGGATCGTTCCCTTTTACATTGGACTCAAAACTTCTCTAGGATTTCTTCTTCTGTATCCAGGAGTGTTGATTGCGTACCATCAGGTGAATCGCCAGCTCGTTTGCTGACAAATACCAATAAAAAATTGCATGAAAGTTTATGTAAAATGGCACCTCTGACAGTATATTATTTTTTTTTTTATGTGATAGGACGGCAAACGAGCAGACGGATTACCTGATGGTAAGCAATCGGCGTCGCCCATGGACACCCGCAACAAAGAAGGAGTTACGAGTGCGTTGCCGCCCTTTTAAGGATTGGGATTTTGGGACTGGGAAGGGATTGGGGTAGGGGAAGGATTGGGCCTCCGGTAACCTCACTCACACGGCGAAACACAACGTTGTATTATGTTCTTTTGATGTAGTAACCATCGTGCGTCATTCAAAAGCAAATAAAAATACCGCTTAAAAAAATAATTCGAGAAAAGCTCTACTAATTTCAAGCTACCAAAATAAGGGTCCCGAAATAACATGAAACTGGTAGAGCATTCCTCGAAAATGTCTTGCATATTACCTGTATAGCCTTAGCACTGGCCAATTCTTCAATCCACCTTGTAATGTGTGAGCATTCTGCCAGGTACCCTGACTTGAGATCAGGGTTGTAGTAAATGGGATATAGTGTACTCCATATGGAGATGTCTGCCGCTGACAGTTTGTCCTGGAAGTATGATAGTAGCACTTTAAGGCTTTGTTTATGCATTTGTCGTACATTGAAATCACAATCTAAAATTAATCCTCAAATCAATGTTTTTTTTTATAAAAAGCTTTGCTCGACCTTAGGATGTTCTTCTGTGTGAACTGTCTGTTCACATAACACCCAGACTCGAAACAACAATTCAACCGCCGACGAGAGGACGCCGTGCAATATGACGGTGCCAGTGGCTCAAATTAGCTGTGACCCTTAGGGGCTCAGGTGCTAAGGCCGCTATCCCACTAGGCCGTGCTGACGCGAAGCATTAGCGTCCGCTGACCGCGACGTTAGCGTCGTGTCTGCGCTACGTTGAAGTCGCCTTTGTTGGCAACAGGTTTATACCAAAGACTACATTTGATAGAGCAGGACGGCATTATTGTACCTGTCACCAATAAGGGATTGAATTTAAAATTAAAAAAAACCCCGACACAAAAAACATAAGCTTCCTTTAAAAAGTATATAATACTAGCTACTCGCGCGCGGTTTCACCCTCTGCTCGGCTCCATTTAATCGTAGTGTAATATTTTACGGCCTATAACACTCAGGAACATTGTAGCTATCTATCAGTGAAAGAATTTTGGCAATCCAACCAGCGGTTCCAAAGATTACCCCCTGCTTACAAACATACAAACTTACAAATTTTACCTCTTTATAATATTAGCATAGACAAAAGAAATCTTTCAGGAGCTATGATGCCACAGACAGACACGTCAAACGTATAACACCCCTCTTTTTGCAGCGGGGGTTAAAAAGCGCGACGTTATCGTTTCGCAGACGCACATTGTCATCGCGTCAACGCTGTGCAAACGCGATGCTGACGTCAACGTTATTAAAACGCCTAGTGGGATAGCGGCCTTACCCCCTGGCCACAGCCAAGCGCGGCGCGGATTGCGGCGCGAAATGCGGCGCGACAAGCGGTGAGCGCGGAAAACAAATGGTAGACAACGTATGAAGTATGCCACAGCTAACGGCGACGCGAATTGCGGAGCGACCTGTGGCGCGGAGAGCGTCGTCAAAAGTCCTCGTATATTAAAAAAAAAATCTGGATAGTTCCTATATTCGTGATAAAGCGTGTGAAATTCGCCAAGGTTTTTCCTTTTTTCATTAACTGGGTGCGTTCCAATTTTAGAGTTAATGATATCTTGAGCTAAAAACGCATTAGTCTCAAGACAATATCGTGCCACTTTTGCTAGGGCCATTATAAATAATACTGAGTACGTCCACCGCTGATGCCGCCGCGGTCGCAACTAGTCGAGCTGTGGCATACCAACGCAAATCGCGTCGCCCGTTGCGCCTCCCGTCGCACCGCTAGAAGCTGTGGCCAGGCTCTTAGGGCGGTCAGGCCCTCTCGATCGCCTGATATAACAGCAATTATTCCAGCCAATCTTTCATCAGTTAGGGTCTCAGGGCGAGATGTTTCATGCCGTCTGATCGGTGCTTTAGCCTAAACGAATTTTAAAAGATAACTCACCCCTAGTATATACTTGTGTTTTGCCAAAGTAGTATCTATAGTCGAGAGTTGAGCTTGAAGAGCTTGTTTGAGATCTGAAGCCACTGACTTGGCAGTCAGCACCGCTGCGACAGCTGGGTGGAGCCGCGTCGCTTCCCATTCTTGCATCTGTTGGCTGGAAGGGAACAAGAGAATGATTAAAATTGAATTTTATTATACACCTTTATAATAAGCGTGCGTCGGAACGAATGGGTTGTTCGACCGGAGTGACACCACGGCCTCACAGAAAACAAGCACAGCGTTGTGTTTCGCCGTGTGAGTAAGGTTACCGCAGGCCCAATCCCTAGCCCCTCCGCTACCCCTTCCCAATCCTTAAATATCCACAACCCTTATCCCCAAAAGACCGGTGTTGCAGGTGTCCATGGGCGACGCCGATTGCCTTCCATCAGGTAATCGGTCTGCTCGTTTGCCGCCTTATCCCATTTTGATTGGAATGGCTGGACCGATTTAGACCAGAACTTTATTAAACTTATCTAATGAAATAAGCAGTGACTTAGCGCTGCTTTTTCAATGATTAGATAAAAGTTACCTGGGGAATAATTATGATGCTGTCGCGTCAGAATGTTTGTATAAGACAGAGACAGCACCAATTTTATTCCTCAGATAACATTTATCTGACTATTGAAAAATCAGCCATTAGGCTAATTTGATCTCAGTAGAATTAGAGATCTCCCTACCTTTGTCCATCATCCGTCAAATCAAGAACTGGGAACAGGTATGACGCTGCGGCATTACTCGAGAAGAATGTCAAGTTGTCGTCGACCTCCAGTAGGGGGAGTTGGCGTGGCCCTGCGAATACATCGTCTGAAATCACAGACCTACGCTCAGTTACCGTTGCCCAGGGTTAGTTGCATGCTGAGCTGTGTTGCTTGTATTGGAGGCTATGTTAGCATATCTACTTAGCATTAGTTTCCTAAGCCAAAAACAAATTAAGTATTTCAAATAATTTATAGAATCACGTGTTACTTTGCGGAAATCCATGACATTAAATGTTAGGGAAAATATTTAGTTAGCGACAAAAATCCAGGCTTGTTGCAGGATGCAATCCAACTCCTATGCAATCATGCATATGCACATGCAGCAAGGGTGCCACCCTCCCGCCTACATGCATATGCACACATACACAAAACGGAAAAACATGCCACGCAATCAAACCTATACTCGACACGTGTTTCGCCCCTCCACACGGCATCCTCAGGAGATGTCAAATTCTCCTGGATGAAGGATGGATATTTTCCCTAACATTTAAATTATTTCAACTTATAAAGCTATATATCAAAGTACCGCACCCACGACGAGAAAATACGACTGTGGGGCAAAGTTTAAAAAAAAGTCAAAGTCAAAGGTCAAAAGTCGAAGGTAAAAGTCACCAGTGTAAGTCAAAAAAAAATTTCAATTCGATCCTTATAGGCTTTTCCAGACTTTTGAACGTCAAACAAAGCTTTAAGATAAAGTGTCAGTCTATCGATCAGTCCTTTTAGTGAAGCTATTTGCTTGTTCCAAAGTCTAGTTTCCTAAGGAGAAGAACGAGCAGGAAACTCCATGGTTACTCTTTACCAATCATTTTCATATAGATACTTAAAAAAACAATCACACCTGCATACCTTAATTACATAAGTATAACATACATAATATTCATATTTTTTTACATTGTTTTCTGTTACCGTCTGAACTGTCTGTCATTTCTGTTTGTATTATGATTTTAAATTGTGTATTTTTCTGTCACAGGTTTGCAGGGAGAAAATCCTCTAGGAATAATACCTTTGTACCTCTTTTAGTATTCATTTCTTATTTGGAGGACCAACAGCATTAACATTTATTAATTGTAAAACAAATTATGCAACATGCAGCCAATTATAGGTCCCCACTTTTAAGTTTTAAATTACACTGTAATACACAACTACAAAGTTTAATCAACCAATACAATCAATGTTTTTTTTTTTTTTTTACTAATGCAATAGTTTTTATTTTTAAATTTTACTCTGTTTAATAAAATTGTTAAAAAAGTTGGCTGATTTGCCAATCAAGGTATTGCACTGTCTATCCCTATACAAAAATAACAATATCATCATAAAAAAATTTATCAAAACAAATATTTCAGCAAATCACTATCACCATATCGAAATGTTATACATATTAAAATAAACACAAGATAATATTGTGTGGTCACAACTTACTATCAAATACCTAGCCAATATTCATACTTGATCAGCATTCAGATAGGTGGTAATATAAACAGAATTTTTGCATGTAAACATTTTTGTAGTGTGGCAACTGGCAGCTGAATAATGCTTTTGAAGCATTTTAATTATGAATGTGATCTGATATGGCAAGCTTTATTGTTGCAAGTCTGCATACATCTCGCAAATAGAGCCAATTTTTTTTACTTGGTATGTTTCGTATGTTGCAGCTTTGAAATCAAATTATTCAATGAGTGTATTGGCACTTTAAATTATGGAAATATTTTTTTCTTTTACTCCATATTATAATCCCAAATATGATACACATAAAAAGTTTACATTACAATAGCAGCGATATGGCATAGCATTAAAAAAATTTATAAAAACAAGCTTTTGTCATGTGGTTCAAGTCTCATTACTACTGCACTTTAGGCATATTTTTGGGGACATAGAGTAGTAAGAGATGGACTTCTGAGTTTGTTTCGGCATTTCTTCTCATTCTAAAACTAGTCAGATAGGAAATGTCGCCTTCATCTAGTTTCTTACATATAATTTTGCCGCACAAAAGTGCTGTTTTATGGCCTATTTATAAAAATAAATTCAGTTTCATATGACTGCACTAAAAGCTTAGAGCTAAGCATTTTTGGTAGTTAAAACAAAATGTCAAGCTCAATAAATTGCAAATGTCTGCTTCAAAAATTAGTTGTAAGATTCCACTGCATAAACTTATATACATTGCTAATTTAATAACAACGTAAATTATAAAGAAATAAAATTGAAAAGAATCAGGTTTATCAGATGCTGACTGGCTAATCTTAGATTAACATTTAATACCTTGGACAGGATCATAAAAATTTTTAAATGAATAGTAGCATATTTAATTTTACAATTAATTGTGTTGGAATGAAAAACAAAATAAATAAGAAATTTCAAATTTTAAAATCCCTAATATCCAACAAAAGGCTTGTAACATACATGTGACTTTTGGTGTTGCAAATATACATACATGGAATTAGTCGTGGCAGTCCCACTTACAAATTAAAAGAAAATTCATACAAACCATACATTAAAAGAGTTATAAACATTGCCGATTTACAAAACTTTGTTAATAAACATTCCAAAAAAATCCTCTCACGCTACTCTACACAACATTTATAAGGAAATAATATAAATCCTAAGTCCTCAAGTTAGTTTCTGATGCAATAAATAATATGCTTAAGTAATTATAAAGATGATTTACAGATTAACATAAAAATACACCTATATTCAAGATGCCATGTAAAATAAAAAACACATAAGCTGCTTTTTTAAGAATTATAGGTACAAATTGGTCATGGTTACAATGTATTAAGCATGCATGAGGTCGCAATAAGCAGGTTCTAATAGGAAAAAAAAATCTTATTTTTGTTCAACATAGCTATTAGATTCTTAATGGAATTAGAACTAATGTTAGTCGCCGGTTAGTGAACAGCGAAATTCATGCTCCCTATTAGATACTTAAACGCACAGAAGCAAAATATCGCATGATTTATTACACTTTTAAGGGACTAAGAGGAAAGTCCACCTACCTTCGAAAGAAGCACTGACAAGATCCACTTTCTTGCCCGCTAAATTAGCCGCAATAAGCAGCTTTAGCGTGGAAGTGTTGTTTTCGTTTGTGTAAATCTTCATTTTAATACAAATTTCAGTCTTAAAAGTAATTTTTAGATCAATAACAATTTTCCATAACCTCTACGGTTTACCCAGCTGGCAGAAAATGAATTAGAATTTTGAGGAAATGTTTTTTACCAAATGTTCGTTCTCTGTCTTTCTGGTAAAATAGGAAAGAAACAACAGTATACGTAATGTTCAAATAAGCATTTCTGTATGAACGGAACGCAACTGACACGCTTGAAAAAATGACAGCTCAGCTCATTGACTTTTAAAAAACCCTACACATTTCAAAATCACATTGAGACGTGGTTCACATACGCGATACATGTGCTATATAAATTGTTTGGATAATAGTGGGCGCGTTCCTTTTTATGTAGATAAGATCAATAAAATCAAAGAGGATAAATATAGAAGAAAAAAAAAAATGATACAGCGTTAGTCAACAACGCCAACCACAGACTATAATACAATAAAAACAAAATGCATCTTCAATTATGTAGATTTATTATTTATCGTGATATGAAAGAAAATGTGATATTTATGCTTATATGTAAATCACCGACACCGATCACATTGTTGCTTGATGGACTTGCTTTATAGACATATAGACTATAGCATAAGTTGGGTTGAACAAGGTTCTAAAAATGTCTTAGATTTAGATAAAAGGTAATGTTATTTTTATTAAAAATATAAACTTACTTACACTATATTGCACTATTTATCTCATATCTAGCTGATGTAGAGGTGTTCGTCTGTACACACGTTTAAATGTCATACAAACCTATTTTGTGCTAATTCTTTTTCAAATTTTTTAAGAGGGGAGGGTATCATCACATAAGTTGGCTAGCCCTAAGTAGGGCAAAGGGGAGTGTTCGTTTTACTGTCTAAAAACCAGCCCTTTCTTATCCTACACCGCACAGAAGCCACGATATTGACATAATGTCGAGTAAAATTCTAAAGTAGGTTTTAACTCCTTGGTTTCTTGTGCGCTGAGACGTCACTCTGAGCTGGTTTAGCATTGCCGGGCTCATTTTAAGACGTCTTGCTTTCGACAGGTAAATTAAGAAAAACACCATTGCTATAAAATAAAATAAAAACACAAATTCTATGTGATAAAAGTTTATTTTAGTAAAAATTAAATATTTTTCCTCACTAACGTCCGACTATATGCAATATTTATTAATCGCTAAGTAACTATATCGATTTTGGAATAAAACTTATACAACATTATAAGAACGAGTAAAATGCAAATGAGTAATATTATATTTGTTTTAGAATACCACCAGGTACATAAAAATAGGCGTATTTTTTCAAAAATAGGATAATTTTATTAGTTTATTGCTTCACTTATCAAATAAATTATTTACAAAAAGTTTTTACTTAGTTCTTATTTTATCTTTGATTAAAGTTTTTGTATCTACATCGATTTTCGCGGGCTTTTCAAGTACTGTCAAACTCATTGGTTCAATCAATAGTGTATATATAGTAAGTATAGTGTATAATAGTTTTTCTCAATCAAAAATAAGAAAAATTACATTAATATCTATTTATTTACTATTAAAACAAGTTTTACTGCATTTTAAAGTAAGATTTGTAATTCTCTATTGTTAAAGTGCATTGTAGTTTTGTGATTTTTTCAAAACTTAACCGAAACGAAGAAATAAATAGATATATTTACAATGCTTATTCTAAGACACAGTATACTTATAGAGCATTTTAGATATCAAAAATAAAGTACAAACTATTTTTCGTAGGTAATAAAAATACATTATATTTAACATCTTTATAACGAAAAAGCCGACTATTTCACTTGGGTACCTTAGGAATCTGTTTCATAGTTTTAAAATTACATGAATCACACAGAAATAATAAAAGACCTGGTTGATTATCTGTAGGTATGTTATCACCTGTGCCAATGGGCAACCACCAGAGCAAGGAGTTGAACTTAAAAACGAGTTCACTCTTGTTTTGAAGATCAGAATTTTTTTGGGGCGTTCTTTCTGGTACATACCATACGATTCGAGTAATTTTAAAACTAGATATTAAATGAAAATGTACTTCTACTATTTCAAATAAAGTAAGTGAAGAAACTGTCATTTATTATTTTTACGATCTTCATTTTGGTTTGATTAAGCGGTACTAATTACAGGTAATTAAGTCAAGATTTTTCGCTAGTTAGCTGTAAATTAAGGCGTATCTTAGATAAATTATTATAATATAACATTAGGTATTTTATTAACTTATCCGTCGCGGTATTTTAAACTCGCATTTTACATTCCCCTATCTACACCATTATTCTTAGGTCCGCCATTATTAGGTTTTATTCAAAAATATATTCTATTCCAAAAAAAGAAGTTCCTTTGTCAGAAAACATTTTTTTTTTCACTAATCTACGTGCTAATTCGTATTAAATGATAATTATACAAAATTGTACGAGATCTCATACATAGCAAACATCGAAATCGTAAATTGGAATTAGATTATTGCATTTAGAAATATTTAATCACGATTATAATAAATATAAACAGAAATTAACTGTTCAAAATTATTAATTTAGCTTGTAACAATTGAACAGTAAAACGAAAAACCTCAAGATGGTCGCAAAAAAAATTGCGGGAAAATTGTTGATCTATAAATTTATTAAAAAGTGATTAAATATTTTTAATTAAAATTTCTACTTCCCTCAGTCATACTGCCTTAGCTAAATACTATTCTATGATATTTCTTTTACTAAATCTAATTAATTATAAGAGTGGTTTAATTATCTTCCCATTACCTGCACTTTGACGTTATATGAATTTGTTTCAAATACGAAATAGCAATAAGGTTACGTTTTTTCGTTCTGGTAGGTATCATAAGAAATTAGAAAATTGATAAGTGTAGGGTAAAAGTTACTCAAAAATTTATATAGCAATATTAATTTTTTACGTAAGTTTCAATAATTATCTTTATTATGAAACAAACTCATAAAACATCATTAGAGCTCATATTTTATCAGTCCATTTACGAGCCCGGAAACAATATCTAACTTTCGAGTATCACAAAAATTATATTTAATATAAAAAAAAAACAAAATTGTACAGCATTCGTTTTCAACAAATAATAATTTTAACAGAATAATCTTTAATAGCCAATTTCAGTGCTTTTTTATTTACTTTTAATTTATAATTATTAAGTATTCTTGTTATTGAAGGGAGTGTAGGTTTATATTTGTCAGTTAGGGGCTGTCTCACAATAACAGAAGTTTTCGTTTTAAGATTCATTTTCAATATTTGTTCTATTTCTACTGAAAACCTGTGAAAAACGAAGATCGAACCAAAAATGTTGTTTGTTTTTTTTTCTGTTCATATGACAGAAATAAATAAAAATATAATGAATTGAACGTGATTTTTTTTACACTTTTAATGATTTATATTTCATTTTCTTGTCTCAGAATCTAAAAGTTAATTTATTTAAATAACTAGTTGATAACAAATAACTAGTTACGAAATAAATTCAAGATCAAATATTACAAATAATAATAGTTGCATACGCATTCAAAAACCAAATTAAAATAACTGTATTTTACAAAATTATAATTCTAATACCAACAATCTTCCTTCAATAAATTTCGAATTTGATAAAAGCACTGTTATCACCTAAATACTACATTACTTCATCGATATTATTTACAGGGTGTTGTTTTTTTACGGAGAAAAAAACTTCCGTAAATTTCGTAGACAGGTAGATAATACCCGTCTAAAGGAGTGATGCCACTCCTTCTTTGTTGACTATAGGCTATGGGAGACTGGGGAGGAGAGGGGCGAGACCTTGTCTCGGTTCTTGCATTGCGAATTGCTTGTGTTTAGCGATCCGGACCAGTCGGCGAGTTGTGTGACCGGCCTGTAGAACTTCGTTGACGTTCGATTGAACACTGGGAGTAGTTCGTTCGCTTCGTTTGATAGAGCCTGCAAGAAAAATATAGTTTATCATATTATTAATTAGAAAAACGTCACCTATTTATGGAAAAATATATTAAATTAAAAAAAAGCCGTTTAATAAAAAACTGGCGTCTGCCCGCAACTTTGTGCACGTATTAAAGTAACTATACCGGCACAATAAAAACAGCAGCGTATACTTAGACTAAAATACGCAAATTAAGTATAATTTATAGCCTATAGCACTCAGGAATATTGTAGCTATCTATCAGTGAAAGAGTTTTGGAAATCTGACCAGCTGTTATAAAGATTACCGCCTACATATAAAGTTACAAATTTCTCCTCCTTATAATATTAGTATAGATAAAAATAATCACTCTTGCTGGTCGTTTGACAATTCAAAAAATCCAATAATATCATTCTATTGCACTACAAGCATATAAAGTACTTAAATAATGTATATATATGAAAATCAATGCCACTTTTCGTTGTAATGTTATAATTCAACAACGACTTAACCGATTTGGCTAATTTTGGTCTTGAATTATTCGTGGAAGTTCAGAGAAGGTTTTTACGTAAAGAAAATAAAAAAAAATCTTGAAAAATGGTAAAATCTAAACCCACGCGGGCGGATCCAGATCAGTACAGATCATTATCAGCTTATAAGTGCCCACTGCTGAGCAAAGGCCTCTTCTCCCACGGAGAAGGTTCGAGCATTAATCACCACGCTTGCTCAATGCGGGTTGGTGATTTCAAACTTATAATTAGACATTATAAGCCCAGGTTTCCTCACGATGTTTTCCTTCACCGTATGTCAGTGCTGTCTAAATAATCATAGAAAGTACATATAACTCGGAAAAAGTCACATTGGTACTTGCCAGGTTTCGAATACCCTCATGCATTAGAAGTGGGCTCCTTAACCTCCGGGCCACCACGTCATAGTACAGATATAGAAAGTTATATTAGTATTATTACAAATCTTACCTTCAAATAGATGACGGCGTCCGTACCGTAGCCCTCGCATGACATCAGCATCAGGTCGCCGTGGAAGTAACGAGCGTACAGCCTGGAGATTGGTAAACCGTACCCATATCCTGGAATAACATAATCAATGGGGATCATGATATGATATGAAAGAAAGAAAAAGAAAAATATTCATTAGGCATCAGACATGGTCCACTAAAATATGCATTGAAATAAAATAAATACTAAAATCAACAAAAATCAATACGGTAGTTTCCAACTGTAGTCAAATTCAATAGTTTTTCCGAAATATCAAATACAATGGTTTTCTATGAAATAGCACGTTGTGACGTCAAATAAAATACTTATTTTTCTTGTCTTATCTAAAAAAATAGGACACCATTTAGTATACATCGTAGAATTTATAAATGAACGTGTGATTTTTTTTTTAAATATTTTTATGGTTTTACAAGTTGATATAATTACTTTTTGACCGAGTAAATTACGCAATTCCAAAGTTTTTTTCTCAGAAACAGAAAAAAGAACATAAAAGTTAAGTCCCAAATTATTCACGTTTTTACGGATTGTTCGATGCATAAATTATAAAAGAAATAATTATTAATCTTATGTAAACAAAACTCATAATCAACATCACTTCACTTAAAATATAATTTTTTACCCACCAGCAAGAGGGACGGTGTGTGCGTCAGACTTGGATGGCTGCGGCGCCGTGCTGTACATGTACTTGAAGAGCAGGTCCGACACACTGCGCGGGATACCACCGCCGCGGTCCGATAGCTGAGCAGAGAAATACACAAATAAATAAATAAAAAAAATAAACTCCGACAGTAAAACTAAGATACATTCAAAAAGTAAAAAAAAACAAAAATACGTCGCGTTAAGGGACCGTTCGAAATTTTTATTACCTTCCATTTTTTACGATGCTACAGACAGACTGAAAGACAGACACGTCAAACTTACAACACCTCTCTTTTTCCGTCGAAGGATAATAAATAAATTAAAGAAACTACCTACACAAATTCGCGAAGTCGTTATTTTAAAGAAATGTCTCAAGAGGGTTGCCATACAAAAAAACGTTATTATTGTTCTTACCTTTACAGAGACGTCTTCTTGACCTCGAACCAGGTTGACGGTGATGGGTGGGGGGCAGCTTTCGTGTGTCTCCATAACAGCTCGCATGGAGTTCTTGAACAGCTCGAAAAGCATGTGGTAAAGATGGGACGGTACATACACTATCGGCATGGGACCTTGGGAAGGCACTGGAAATGGAAACAGAAATTAACAAATGAATAACTCTATCACTACTAGTATATGTGGGAGAGCCATGCACGAATGAATCGACTCTACCGGAGTTATACCACGGCCTCACAGAAAACCGGCGTGACACAACCACAACGTTGCGTTTCTCCGTGTGTGTGAGGTTACCGGCCCAATCCTACCCATCCCCATCCTCTATCCTTCAATCTCTAACAACCAAGTAACTCACAGTGCTGTATTAATATAAAAAGAGACGATCAAAAAGGTTGTATGAGTGAAATAGGGAGGTTAGTAACGCGTTTCTACTCACACCTTTTTGATACCACGAGTGTCCATGGGCGGCGCTGATTGCTTACCATCTAGTAATCCGTCTGCTCGTTTGCTGACTTATGCCATAAATAAAAAAAACCCTTACCTCCGTCCTGTAACAGCTGTAATTCTGGAGAAGCCAAATAGTATCTATCGCACAGGAACCTTGCGTTTTCATACGCGTCTCTTACGACGGCAGCGACGTCACAGGCGGGGTCAATCGACCCAATATGGCGGCCACCGCTGCCGATTCCTGTCACTGACGCTTGCCTTGGGCCGATTTGCTCGCCAAAGAGGAGTGCTGGAAGGGAGAAATGTTGTAAGTTTTATTTTAAACGGACAAAGATCCCTGGATGCTCAAAGCGCGGGTCTGCGGACGGCGAGTAAGGGTAGCTCGCCGCCCGACCAGAACGGCGTGTAGTTCCGCGCGCGCCTCAATGAGCCAGTAGACCACCACAGACGAAGCCCTATAGGGCTGGTGGTCAGCCGAGATCGCGGGTCAAGCGCAATAACCTGCGGCTTCAGACTGGAGCAGGGGAAGAAACGGGAAGGTTTTTAGTCAGTAAGAGTCTGAAACTCCCTCTCTGAAGACACTGGATCATTTTCCACCACAAAAAATGGTTTTTCAGAGAGCGCTGCTATACCACGCCCACTGGAACAGTAGAAGAGTCAAAGAGTAAAGAGGTAAAGATCCAATTACTTACTATGTTGATTGATTAGCATCCTAATGGAAATGCGGCTCATATAGAAGCGGTCCAAGAAATACTGGATGGAGTTCTCAGTGCTTGGGTCTACTTCGTGCGACTCCTTCAGTTCCAGTACACCTTGAGCCATCGTCTGGACAACGTCTGCGTGACGGTTACGTATGTGTACTAGACGTTCACAGAATCTGTAAAATAAAAAAATACAAAGGTTTTATTTATTTGCATGTTTAACGTCATCATTAAATGGTAGAACTACCCTCGCCAAGTCCGTCGTCCGACATTTTTATGCTACTCATGATTATAAGCACCTGTTGTAGCTTGAAACTTTTCGAGTATCGTCGTCAACTTACAACTATTGAATATAGAGTACCTTTACTTTTTATAGGAGAAGATAAAAGAAGAAGAGAAACAAAGAAGACATGTCATCATCAGCCTATAATTTTTATGCTACTCATGATTATAAGCCCATGTTGTAACTTGAAACTTTTCGAGTGTCGTCGTCAACTTAACTTTATATAGGAGAAGACAAAAGAAGAAGAGAGAGACAAAGAAGGCATGTCATCATCAGCCTATACGTGTCCACTGCCAAACCCTCTTCTCCCACAGAGAAGGAATGAGCATTGGTCACCGCGCTTGCTCAAGGCGTCTAGTTTCCAATTTGAGCAAATTGTTTTTCCGGGTCTGATGTGCATGTTTATAAACGCACCCACGACACAGGAGAAAATCCTGGTGTTAAACAATGTTTAAAAGGACAACGCAACAACTAATCAAGCAGGCATGTTGTAATATTTATAACTAGGTACTACAATTAATACAAACGTATGCCAACACGAGTAAATGTCCATTGAAATTAAACCAATTAGTAGCAATTGGAATCCACAGCGTTTCTAGAATCGCTGATATTGTGGTGTTTTAAGTACGAAAGCTGACCAAGAAGCCTCTGGGCCTCTGGCTAATATCCAGCCAGTAATTTTTTGCAAGGGAAAATCATCAAATGACTTCTCCCGCCTAGGTTGAGGCGGGAGGGAGCGGAGAAGAGCTGTGCCGCGATTCACCAATCACATGGCTTGTAATCCATCATCGGAGAAGCCGTTCCTTCTGCGCTCATTGCGCTTAACCCGCAACCCCGGCTGAACATCAGCCCTATAGGGCCTCGTCTGTGGTGGTCTATTGACTCTTTGAGGCACGCGCGGAACGCTACGGGTCTGGTTCTGGTCGGACGGCAAACTACCCTTACTCGCCGTCCGCAGACCCAAGCTTACGGTGGTCGGAGATCATCTTTCGATCCCCGATGCCCGAAGTGGCGCCTACTGCGGTGCTTATCACTAAGAGTCTTGACACTCCCTCTTTTATCATCCAGGGTCATCATCTTCCTGCCCTTCTCCCGCTTTATTTGGGGTCGGCGCAATATGTTTTTTTCTTCCATTCTGTCCTGTCACTCGTCACGCTATCGCTAACTCCTCTGTCTTCCATATCACTTCTCACACAATCCATCCATATTTTCTTTGGTCTCCCTCTCCATCCATCCACATTTATAATCCAGGGTGAGACAAGTTATTTGATCATTAAACCTCTAAATAAAGAGGGGTTTGGGATTCCATTCGAGAATTTGGGATTGGCAATAGAGTTGTAGGCTGTCATAGTAGTCCTATACAGAAAAGTATAATTGTTGTCACATTATACACTTCTGTTTAACGCTATTAATAACACACGAGACTGTTCGACAGGTTAACTCGATTAGTTTCAAGTCACACCCGGAGCCTATAACTTCGAGGAACATGCCCGATAAGAGGCAACGTTTGTAAACGTTAGACCATGGTACTCCAATCTCCAAATAAAAATAGATACTTACGAGCTTAATATTGGTGGATCTGGCTCCATTTGTTCAAACTGAATGATTTCCTCGAAAGACCTCTCGTACCATTGGTTGACCAGACCGACTGATGGCATCCGCAAAAGATTCTCTGGCAGCAGCGCTATCTCTTTCATTATATTCGCGAGCCTGTGGAACAGAGAGAGATGGATATAGTTTTCTATAGTTAACTTTTGTATGAATATAATTTTAAATCTAACGGCCAGTTTTAATTACCTATCTACACAAAAGAAAAACATTTAAACGCTACAATTGTAGTAACTTGAGACACTATGGAAAAACAATAGGTACGTGAACACCGGCGTTCGCTTGGGGTTTGATGAATTAATATAATACAATGTAAAATTTGCTTTTCCCAAGCTTTTTTTAAGTCCTACATATGTAAGCAGACATGACATAATATGAATACTAGTCATAATCATAGACTGAGTAAATCTCAGGAGAAAAAGGAGTTATGAGTAGCACCATGTCATAATTAATTAGTCTTAGACTTAATTTTTTTTATGAGAGGACGACAAACGAGCGTACAGATTACCTGATGGTAAGCAATCAGCGCCGCCCATGGATACTCACAACAACGGAGGAGTTACGATTGCGTTCCCGACCTTTTGGGTATTAGGGATTTGGAGATTTTGGGATTGGGCAGGTATTCGAGGAGGCGAAGGTTTGGGCCTCAGATTACCTCACTCACAAAACAAAACGCTGTAAAACAACGCTATGGTGGTTTGACGTCGGTTTTCTGTGAGGCCGTGGTATTGCTTCAGTCGAGCCGACCCATTCGTGCCGAAACAGGGCTCTCACACACATAATTTTCTTTTATTACTTCTATTAATCGTTTAATTATTATTGAGGAAGGTTCATTACCCGTGAAACGTGAATCATTTCGTTGTTTAACCAGTAAGTACGAGCAAAAAATGATAAACAAACATCGGAATCTTCCAAACAAAAAAACTGATGTATTTTACAACATATTATGTATAATTACGCGGGTGTTATAACGCGAAAAATATTTATTGAAATACTTTGGTAGGCTTGACGTATTTTGTGTCTTAAATATCAATTTAAAATCAAACCCTACTAAATAATACTTTTTGTGTAGTTTTATTGTATAATACATATTCTTTTTCAGCCTTTTAAGTTTTCAGTAGGTAAAAAGGTATCCTGCTTGCTTCTTCCGTATGCCATCGGTATTCTTCTCTGCATCAACGAAGGTAAGACTGGCAGAGAATGCTTAAACCATGAAGTCCACCTTGTGTATATTTACTTATGCATAAAGCCATCCAAACTAATATTATTAATGCGAAAGTAACTCTGTCTGTCTTTTCTTCACGCCTAAAACTTCTGAACCGATTTCTATGATATTTGGTACTTACAGACATAGTTTGTTACAAATATTATTGTAAACGCGATAAGAGTCGATATTTTGTTACTCTTTGACGTAAAAACTACTGAACGTATCTTAATAGATTTTTTTATTGAGATAGAATGATCTGGAATAACACATAATACACTTTTTACCTCAGAAAGGGTGAAGACGCTAACAAAAACTAACCCTACTAATATTTATAAATGTAAAAGTTTGTGAGAATGTATGAAGGTATGTTTGTTCTTCTATTACGCGAAAACGGATGGACCGATATGGTTGAAATATGGTGTGTAGATAGGTGATACCCTGGATTAACAAAGAGGCTCAGCCGGGGTTGCGACGCAAGCGCAATGAGGCACCACGGCCTCGGCCCAGAGCAGGAGAAGGAACGGGGCGTTTTTTGTCAGTAACAGTCAGACTTTCCCCTCCGCCCGACAATGGGCGGGAAAAGTAATTTGATGACTTTCCCCTCCCAAAAAAATGCTGCTTTTTATCAACATACCACGCGGGCATCAGTTAGTAGGAACTTATCAAATATTATACATAGGTAGTTCATATTCAAAATAATACAAAAGATTACAATCAAAATAATAATAATAAAATAAAATTTTGCGCACGTTTTTCTTCGCGAGTGGTGACCATGTCTTCGGCAATATTTTTTTTTATCGTTATCAGTTATCAGAGATTAAATTACTTCATAACAACAGGCCTTTTAACCTTGATTTGTGCGTAAACATTGCGTGAAGGTTGTGATACAGTGATAAGCGGTAGCGATCTATCCGCCCCTGTTTCGCACTGATGTACTAAATCTGGGTAACGACGAAAGGAACGAAGAATATTTCCCAATATTCTTTTGTCATCATCATCAAACTGATTTCGTCAACAGCTGGACATAGGCCCCTGAATTTCATTTAAATTTGTATACTACTTTTCTAAAGTTTTCTTTCATAAAAGCCTTCTTCTGTCAATAACAACTTCGCGATTCGTATTCAATTTCAATAAATCCTGATAAAAAATTAGTTGATAAAACAGCGTTGTGTTTCGCCGAGTGATTGAGGTTACTGGAGGCCCAATTCTTTCCATCCCCTAATCCCTAAATCACCCAAAACCCCTTATTCCGAAAGGCCGGCAACACATCTGCAACCCCTTTGGTAATGCAGGTGTCCATAGACATGCCCATTACCACTGTATCACATAAAAGATAAAAAAAACAATTATCGTACTCTCTGAATCTGAACAGTGAACAGTAAGTCTTAAGAATCTCGTCAAGAATTGATAAAACACATTCCATATGAGACTCTCAAAATGGTAATAATCGCTATCGCTTACAAAAGATCGCTACCATTCAACAGTTTAACCTCAGCCTAACAAACAACATAATCTCCAAGGTTTGCCTCGAATCTTCCAGATAATCGAAACACTTTGAATGCCTCTTATTGACAAGTAATAGGCCTTTCGTTGTTTTATCGGATTTATTGACAATTTACGTCGTACGATATCTGTCCTCTAATATAGAAAAAATAAATAATATGTATAAGGGCTGATTTTTCAATGGTTAAATAAAAGTTACCTGGGCAATGATGTATAAAACTATAGATACGTTGTCCGCGCTCTAAAATGACAACATGAAATGAAGGCAATTGACAACATCGCGCTTAGTTACGCACCAACCAGCCGCGCGATGCTACGTTTTTTTTTAATTTATATCGTGTGTGTAAACCTGTGCGAAACAAAGAAAGCATGTCGTCGTGTGTGTTCAGACGATGTACAAATTATACTCCAAAAGTTAAAGACAAAAATGTGTCATTTCATGCGTAAGTTCACCAAACAACCTATATTTATTTTATTTTTTCGACGCCGGCGCCCGCCATCTTAAGGCGGCCGGCGCATGAAGGTATAGTCACGTGCCGATGTAACTGAAGATGTATATTTATCTCCCTCTAGCAAAGGCATTCCACTATACGATGTCATATTTTCTTTCCCTTTCTTTACTCGTAGAAGTAGTTATCTAGTATTTTCGCCGTTTTTAAGCGCCGCGATGTTCGTTCATGACGTGTCTATATATAATACGTCATTGTACCTGGGAAATAATTATGATGCTGTCGCGTCAGAGTGTTTGTATAAGACAGTGACAGCAACAATTTTATTCCTCAGATAACATTTTCTGACTGTGTTTGGCCGTGAGAGTGAGGTTACCGGAGGCCCAATCCTTCCCCCCTACCCCCATCCTCAATCCTTAAATCCCCAATAGCCGACAAGAGGCTAGCAACGCACTTGTAGACCTTTGGTTCTACAAGTATCCATGGGCGACGCTGATTGCTCTTCATCACGTAATTATATAAAATCAGCTTTAATAATAGCGAGGGAAGTAGAAACAACTAAATTTTTTCTTCTCCACAAACAATGTTTAAATTAATTTTATTTATTGAAACTGACTGTAAATAGAATGTTCGGTAACATTCTGTCTGCGAGTTGGGCGGTTGATAACATGTCACAGACATTTGTACGGTTGAGAAGCCATATAAAAATAAGATAAACAAACTATTCCGGACATTTCTATTTGCTCCAATTCTGTTATTTGCGGATCAGAAGCCGTTTTTAGTTTACCTACAAAATAATGAACATTATTTTTTTAATTTATATTTTTCTTCACTGACAACCCGTAGGTCCGTCTGTCAATAATAAAACTGTTTTAAAAAAAAATTGTATAGTTACGGGTTTCGATACTACTGGCAGTATAGCCGACAACACATAAAAATATCCCTTATCTTCAAAAGGCAACCGGCAACGCATTCGTAATTTCTTTGGTGTTACGGGTGTCCATGGGTGGCGCCGATTGCTTACCATCAGGTAATCCGACCTAACTATCTTATAAAAAAGGTAAAATATCCTCACCTGACAGGCAGCTCTTTCCTCAAAAAGAGAAACGATTTACTTTCGCACGCATTCAAACCTGGAACAAAAAAAAACACAATGTTAATATTTACCAACATAACAAAAATTCAGTGAAATTGACAAACTTTACGGCACTAAAGTCTTAAATAATTACATATTAAGATAGCGTTTATAATCATTTTATTTGTTGACTTTTCTACGTCAGCAGTGAAAACCCAATATCAAGCAACTACTGTTTATTTTCAAATAAGATACTAAATTTATTTATTAAGATACCGTTTAATTTTTTTTAAATTAAACTATTTTTTAACACCTGTCAGATTACGAAATTTTGACGTAATTTTGTTCTAGATTGTCTATCGGTTTAGGTGGTATTCTAAACGTAAAAATCTTAGTACGGTAGGTCTTTTTATATAAAAAAGGTTGTATAAAAGGCATAAAAATATTATTTAAAGTTTATTAGCTAACATCGATTTACGAAAATAAACTGATTGTAAAACATTTCACATACCTACTTAAAATTTTTAGATAAAAAAAACCAAGATGGTTTACATTATTTAGTTAATTTCCTAAGCCGATGGCAGACAACGTGGGACAGTATAAAAAATATTATTTCAAATTATAAGTTTAACTATAAAGTAATACTATTGGAAATAACTTATTTTAATCTTAAAGCCAAGTGATACAACGTAGAAAAAAGATTTTTGCCTTTTTATTTTTTTACCACGAGAACAAAACTGTAGACAGAAAGATGTGAATCAATAAACGACTTTATACATATTAATTCAAAATAAGACCACTCAATCAAAATATCATCGCAGATAACAAACAAAGACAACACTATAGTATTATCTTTATTTTCACTTTGTATGTAGGTATTTAATGCACGTGGCTCAACAAAGTGCAATAACCTTTTGACATTTCTTTAGCTTTGACAGCTCGACCTTGTGATTCGTCATTTATTTATTTATTTCCCTTGTGAACAATCGATTAGTTCACAGTCGATACATTTGAATTATTAATGAAGATACATTATGAGTAGGTAACTAGCTTTTGCCCGCGACTCCGTTAAACTGTTCATTTTTGGTATAAAAATTATCCTATGTCCTTTCTCAAATTTCACAGAAATCGGTTCAGTAGTTTAGGTGTGAAGAAAAGACAGACAGGAGTTACTTGCGCATTTATAATGTTAGTATGGATAACAATACAGGTGTTCCATATTTGTAGGTTCAAATACTTTCATCATCATCATCAGCCTATAAGTGCCCACTGCTGAGCAAAGGCCTCTTCTCACAAGAGACGGTTTGAGCATTAATCACAAGCTCAAGGCGGATTAGCGATTTAAAACTTATAATTAGAAATTATAAGTCCAGGTTTCCTCACGTTTCCTTCACCTGTCTGTAGTCTTATGAACTTAGAAAGTGCCAACATACATATGAATCGAAAAAGTCACATTGGCACTTGCTAGATTTCCGGTGCCTTAACCTTAACACCTCCACGTTGTAATACACATTGGTATTTTTCAGGCTATGATATCACTAAGGTCGATTCGGCCAGTTCTACAATAAATTCTACATCGTGTGGGTTCACAATAAAATTCAATTCGATCCTAATTTTCAGTTCATTGTCTCTATAAATGACAATTTACCAGTAGCGGCGTTCCATTACACGGTGTTCAGCTGAACCACTATTTTCTAAGCCATCGAATCGGAAAGTTGTTCACTTTGGAAGTGCTAAAAGGCTTGTAATCGAATTTTGGGGTGTGGATTGTTGCGGAGGAACTCTTTTTTAAAAGTCAAGCAGGTCTTTATTCTGATAAAGTGTATAGTGATTTTTTGTGAGGGAAAAATCATCAAATGGCTTCTCCTGCCCAGGGGCGGGCAGAAGGGAGTGTCTTACTGACTAATAATCCCCCCGTTCCTTCTCCTGCTCTGGGCCGAGGTCGCGGTGCCTCATTACGCTTACCCCGTAACCCCGGCTGAAGTGTGGAGTGTAAAATATGATTGAGAATGAATGCCTGGTTGGTGTTTTTTGTGATTGCAGTGCAAGGGTGAAATAGGTCGGCTCGACCAAAATAATACCATGACTTCACAGAATACCGACGTGAAAAGCCGAAGCGTTGTTTTGTCATATCAGTGAGGTTACTGGAGGCCCAATATTTTCCTCATCCCTAAGTAATTCTTAAATTCTTGACAAACCATTAAAGGCAGGCACGCGGACCCGCGAGTCATTGCGCAACAAGTGGTCACCAAGTCACTGCACCAAACGTGCAGTCATAGGTACAATAATATAAATCGTTTTATAATGTATTTAAATCCGATACAAAAACCTAATTACGATAAGCCTAATTACCGAAACATTTCATTTAATTACAATTCGCATTACATATGCATAACCTCCTTGGTTCACTTACGATAAAAGGAGGTGTGTCCATAATGGAACTTGTTTTTGAAATGTCTTTCGTTATCTGTGGTTTGTTATCGATAGTCCAAATTTCAACCAGAGACAGAATTTGATTGAGTGAATAATTATATTTAAAACAAATACTAGTAGGTATTTCGTGTGCAAAATAAACTATTTATGCAAGCCTTTTCTTAACTAGGTGGGACAGTAACTTTTTAACTAGATCTTGGATTTTGTAGGTATCTATGGCACAAGGGCGAATCAAGAAATGTAGGGCACAAAATTACATCATTGTAATATACTCTACTAGCGACCCGCCCAGCCTTTCTGGCTGTTATTATAAGTACATATAAAAAAACCTTCCTCTTTAATCACTTGTATCTACTAAAAAAAACCACAACAAAAACCGTTGTGTAGTTTTAAAGATTTAAGCATACATAGGGATATAGGGACAGAGAAAGCGACTTTGTTTTTTATATTATGTAGTGATAATGTTTTGAAGAAAGACATTATAGTATAGTGTAATATGTTGCTATCTCCAATGGTCTACGTGCAACGATTACCATTAATTTGTATAATGACTCAGGACGGGATGAAAATACATATTATTAGTGATTACCACAATGTTGTTGCTTTTCTTACCAGTTTTCTGCGTAATGCGTTTAAAAAAACTTTTTTTTTCGATGTATCATTGAAATGTTAACGTAATCCAGTTGGCTAGCATCGATCCAGTTTTTTCCGGTGAAAATGAAGCAGATTTTTCCGGTTCTCGTAAATATATTTCACTTTCACACGTTCCAAGGTTTTGAAAGTCACCTTTAGCGGTGAAATTATATTATGAAGTTTCCAGAAAAAAAATTGTGCGCGTTATCATCATACATTTCCGATAACTAGTGAGGATAGGCCCCTGCCCTCTCCATATGCTACTTAGCTCAATCTTCATCTCTTTGCCTTTAAACTTTGCTAAGCACAAACCTAATATCGTCACTCCAGCTAACTGGAGTTCGTCCTAAACTCCGTATGCCTAGATGCGATCTCAACTCTAAAACACCCCAAACATTCATCGGTTTTGTACTGTTATAAATACCATGACCAATAGTCAGTTAATCCTTTGGCTACGTCGAGAACTCTAGTTTCTCTGCTAGATCAAATGTGTTCTTCAATGAAAAGCCATACGGTGTTATTTAATTAACATATTGCATGTATTTGCAGTACAACAATCACAGATCGACCATTACAGGCTTCGACCACAGTAAAACTAGAAAGCAACCATTCGGTTTTCCTGCCCACCACACCAATCTCCTGGGCCAAGCAGGGCCGCGGTATGTTACTGCGTTTCGTCTGCTGAAAAAGAAAATTATCTGACCAGTTTCCCTCTCCCCTCCCGCTAGCCTCCAAACTAAATTAGATAAATAAAATCCTAATTATAATTTTATAGGTTATAAATTCTGTCAATTTGACATATAATCAAATATGGCGGCCTAACTTGTTTACCAAGCTCTCCATGTAGGTTAGCTACCATATCCACAAACCAACTATACAAGTAACTATTACACATATACAACATAAGAACTCAAGGTGATCAACTTTTTGCAATTAATTATCAGTTCAAATAATACAAAAACAGTACTTAACGCGTGTAAAATAAAGGTTATTTTTCCATCAAATCATAAGTACACGTAGGTACTTGGAAGAGTCGAAGCGATAAATATGTTAATTTGTTATGTAATATTGCATTATTATCAGAGCCATTGTTTTTAAAGTTGTAAAAAATGTATTCTTGTCGTTTATAGTAGTGCAGAGACTGTCCAGGCGACACACGTACTTAGGTATCGTCGTGAGCTAATGTTCACATGTAAACAGCAGCTCGTGTAATGCAGAGATTGTCCACTTGTCCATTCAACAAATATTAAAAAGTTGCCACCAACTTAATAGCTTAAAACTATAAATTGATCTTGAAACTATTTCTATCACAGCAATCCGTCCATTTATTGGCCATTTAAATTTTAGTACGTAGTTACACTAGAATACTGTAAAAGGGGGGCGTGGCAGTGACGCACAAACCAACCGAAGCCATGCATGATTCAACAAAAATAATACAAACATTATTGTTGACATCGATTTCAAATAAACATTTGATACGAACCACAAAGAAATTAATGACTTTGTAATAATTTGAAGGTAAATACTTTTTTATTTTGCGGGTCAAGCGTAATAGGTTACCGCGTCCCCGACTTGGTTTTTAGTCAATAAGAGTCTGGCACTTGACACTCCCTCTCGCAGTCTCGCCTCATATCGGTTGGTTGTAATGAACCTGCATCGAGCAGAACCTGCATGGGATCTTCATCAGGCCTTCTGCGGATATCCTGTACTTGCCAGACATGGCTATATGATAGTGCTGCGGCAATCAACCATGTCACAGGGTAGACGCAACCCCTAAAGTTTTTATGACTTAGTGCAGGCTGAGCTTGCGATCCCGAAACCGCGTGTCAAACAACGCAAGAAAACCATTAATCAGCAGTTCTTAAGTATGTTTGTTTCTTTTCAGTTTATAAATAATACATTACGCATAACATTTACATATGGCGTTAAGTAATCAATTAAGAATCAGTTTAAAACAATTCGATTAGTGATTACCTACTCAGTACTTTTACTTCCAGAATGTATGTATTTCATTAGAGGTACCTAGGTACATATTTTTCTATTGTATTACGTACGTTTGTTTTTGTTGATCAATATGTAGGTAAATAAACAAAAAGTAAAAGGCTATGAAATAATGGAGTATTTGCAATCCTTTATTCTACATCATATAGAAAAACGGAAACACGCTTTTTAATTTGTTATTATATCTGACCTTTTCTAACACAACGTTTTACTATATTTCTATCCTCTTCTAGAACATACACAGACAAAAGACAACGCACTTTAGCCGGCACAGTTTATAAACAAAACGTGTCCTTCACTCCGAGACAAGATGGCGTCTGCACAAAGTCCACAGCTGATTTTGGCGCGAACTAGAAAAGTTGGCACGCAACACCAAATTGTTTTGAACTCAAGTGTTTTGATATTATTAGTTACGTATCTAACGTAAAATAACCTGACTATGTTAATTTCATTTTATTAGTCAGATAACCGGAATAACAAACAAATAAAAACCGTCATTAGATATGTCAACATGTTTTTCGTCAACAAATTGGTCGTTTCCCATCTATTCTAGTTCCAGTAATTTTGTAATTATTGTGTTTTACAAAGAAATTAGTCATGGTACTTACACGTTGGATTGATCTAGAATGTTTAACTAAACATGTTAAGTCTTTAGCATTTTTAATGAATGAATTTAATTTGACATTTAAATAACTACGTAAGGATGAGTCCTGTTTTAATATTTCTCATTTCTCAAAAAGTCTATTATTTAAGTAGTCAAAAAAGCTTGAATAATAATGGAATAGAATGCAAAAAAATGGATGAATTACAAAAACGCTAAACCTATATTACAATTAATTGAAACATTCCATTCT